TTGAGTCTTCCAAGTGTAAGAGTGTTTAGAAAACACAGATATCTGAGCAAGTACCATGAAGATTTCTAGGAACTGGGCATCAGAAATTGTTTTTAGATGTCATCTTGCCTAGTTATAATAAAAGTGACAGAATAACCTTCTTGGCGCTAAGGAGGTATGTAGATGATCGCTGGTCTCAATTCAGAAGCGGCCGTTCTCTCCCTTCCTCTCCTTCCTCTGTCCCAATAAACTGGGGCATTGCTTGGGTTTATTTTTGGAATAATAATTATGTTAGCATGTTTACAATGTATGCCATTCCAATCAGCTACAATTTTTTCATTGTATCTCCATCCACCAGAAGTAACAGCATTGTACAGCACTATTGAACAGTCAACAAATATTTATCAAGCCCCTGATCGGTGCTGAGCACCATGCATTGCCAAATAGGAAAACAAAAACAGGGGTAACCCTGTCTTTACTTGGTTTTAAGACGCAGTTGGGAGAAAATAAATAGGCAAGTAAAAAGTTAAATAAAAAGAGATAAGCTATAGTAATTCGGAATAGCAGTATAAGAAATTTCACAAGATGGTAATGATTAATAGTCAAGCAGTTGGCAAAGATAAGTCCAAACTGAGTTCAGGGGAGGAAGAATTATCTGTACCTAAAGGACAATAAGAACAAGAGAGTCTGAACTCAGATTCTCTCATCCATACATTCTGTTCATTCATTCATTCAGCAAGCACACATCTTCCTCAGCTTATGATAGGGTTATATCCTGATCAACCCATCATAAGTTGAAAATATCTAAAGTCAAAAATGCATTTCATACACCTAACCTGCAAGTCTTATACACAAACATGTATAGCTTAGCCTAGCCTACCTTAAACGTGCTTAGTACACTTATATTAGCCTACGGTTGGATAAAATCATCGAACATAAAGCCAGTTTTATAATAAAGTGTTGAATGTCTCATGTAATTTATTGAATACTCTACTGAGTGAAAAACAGAGTGGTTATCTGGGTACAGAATGATTGTAAGTGTATCGTTTGTTTACCCTCGTGTTTGCATGGCTGGCTGGGAGCTGCAGCCCATGACTGATGCCCAGCATCACGAGAGAGTACTATACCATGTATCAATAGCCCAGGAAAGATCAAAATTCCAAGTACAGATTCTACTGAATGTGTATCGCTTTTGTACCATCGTAAAGTCGAAAAGTCTCCATTGAAGTGGATGGGTTCTGGATATCGTGGCTTGAATGTACCTGTCCCTGCCCCTGTACAGGCACAGTACATGAGGAGACCAAAACTTAGCATATTTCTGTGGTGAGGCTCTGGGGAAACAGGTATGCTCACATATTGCTGATGGGAATGCAAACCCATACAACCCTTTTGGAGGGGAATTTGGCAACATCTAACAAAACTACATATGCACTAATCTGATCCAGCAGTCCTTCTAGGAATTTACCATGAAGATACACCTCCAAAATATGAAAGTACATTTGCACAAGGTTATTTATTGCAGCCTCATTTGTAATTGCAAAATATTAGAAACAAAACAACCTAAATGCCATACATGGAAGAATAGATGAATAAACTGTGGTATATGCACACAGTGGGAGACTATGCAGCTGCAAAAAAGAATGAGGAAGATGTCCATGAAATGACCTGGTGAGATTGCCAGGATATATTGTCAAGTGGAAAAAAGCAAAGGGCAAAAGAGTATCTATAGCATGCTGCCTTTCATGTAAGAAAGAAGAGGGTATAAGAATATACATGTGGGGCTTCCCTGGTGGCGCAGTGGTTGAGAGTCCGCCTGCCGATGCAGGGGACACGGGTTCGTGCCCCGGTCCGGGAAGATCCCACATGCGGCGGAGCAGCTGGGCCCGTGAGCCATGGCCGCTGAGCCTGCGCGTCCGGAGCCTGTTGCTCCGCAACGGGAGAGGCCACAACAGTGAGAGGCCCGCGTACCGCAAAAAAAAAAAAAAAACAAAAGAATATACATGTGCCTTGTCACTTCTGCAAGAAGAAATACAGGAAGGATGAATCCAGAAACTAATATTTAAGTGGTTATTTACATGAATGGGTCAAAAGAGTGAAAAGAATGGGGGAATGAGAAGTGAGAGAAGAGTGGCATTTCTCTGAGTATTCCTTTTTGTATAATTTTGACTTTTAGAACTACATGGGTGTTTTCCATACTCAAAAGATAAATAAACAAATATATAAAACAAGGATGTGGGTAAAACTCCAAATGGAATACAAAAGGTAACAAATAAACCTAACTGTATTACAGACGAATAACATAGGCACACTGAGGAGATGAGGAAGAAAATAATCTAAGTTTCTCTGAAGAACAGTATTTTGATTATATACTATAAGTCTAACAACAAAAAGAACTGTAAAATAATGCACAGTAGTCGGTAATTGTTTTTATCACAGGGTGGTGAGCTAGCAATTCTGAAGCCATTTTATGTGTAAATATTAGAAGATGAAGCAAATAAATATATTGTTGATTTAAAGAAGGAAAAAAACCTTAGTCTATAGTAGCTGTTCAAAAAATATTTGTTCAGGGAATCCCCTGGTGTCCAGTGGTTAGGACTCCACGCTTCCATGACAGCGGGCAGAGGTCCAGTCCCTGGTCAGGGAACTAAGATCCCGAAAGCCATGTGGTATGTCCAAAAAAAAAAAAAATTGTTCAGCAAATTGAATTTTTCCCCCAGATAGCGACTTAAGGTATTCCTGAACTCCCTAAAGATGATGGACAAAATGTTTGTATATGTGCATTTAATGGGGATAGGGTCCATAAATTTTGTCAGCCCCCAAAACATCTGTGGCCCACCAACTGCCAAAATTTGCACTTCATTACTATCTTCATGTTCCCTTGGAGGTAGATGTTCTAGTCCCCATTATATAGATGAGAAAGCTGAGGCTCACGTGTAAATGGTGGGTCCGGGTGATCCAGGAAGACTTAAATGAAGAGAAGGGATGTGAGGAACATCTGAGACTTAATCAGGATGGAAAAACCCCACCATTTCCATGAGGAAGGGAGCAGAGACACGTGAGCAAGAGGTGGTATTGTAGCAATCATTTCAAGACTTCTCTAGCAGAGCAACTCTGGGCAACAGCTGGATCCAGCGCAAAATGGACAGTTTTGTGCCGTTTCCAAATAACTTACCCAAGTCTGATTGGCTTTATACTTTTATGTTAGTGAGCACTAAGGAAAAATGAGAAAGGTCGTGCATGTGTCAGCTTGGTTATGTGAGGCCTTACCTGCGTTATAATAAAAAGCCAAGTGCTTTTCCCCTTCACTTTCTGGAAACCGACCATTTATTAATGTTCCTACTTTCAGAATCATCAGATTAGACACTCTAAAGATTCTATCTGTTGAGCAAGAGCACATGTTGGCCCTTCTAAAGCCTCGGTTCTCAAGGGGAAATGGAAACCAGACAGAAAGGGACCTTGGTGTGCCTCAGGCCTGCTGCCTGGTTTCCAATAAGCTCTCCTCTGATTTCTTCTTGTTCTGGGCCCGTGGGCCAAATTGGCTTGTCCTTGATGTCTAATCTACCAAAAAGTACTGAGATGATCCTCTCTCAGCAAACTGTTGGCTGCACGCATGAGACTGAGTAGCCTGGTCCCTGAGATGACAGTTCCTTATATTATACTGTGTTTTCGACGAGTCACTGAGTACGTGACTGTTTCTGTCAGAAACTTGCTGTTTACATTCTTTGTTTATACGGCATTATCTGGCTGTTACACCCCATTGGTAACTAACATGGTACTGTTACATTGGGGTCTTAACATTGCCTGCCATTTTGTGAGGGATATTCTGGAGATTCCCCTAGAGGAACAGATAACTTAAGTCCTATTACAAGCCAGGTAATTAAATTCCCCCTGCTTACTTCTTACTATGGCTACAGTTGGATTCGGGATTCAGTCCTGGCCTGTGTGGTTTACTGCAAAGGTCTAGCTGGTAGAATCCAGTCACCACCACCACACCACCCCCATCAAGAGGGGAGTCCTAAAACAGTGGACAAAATGTAGCATTATTCTATTTTGTTTTCCAAAGAAGAAATTTGTTTGAGATTCAAAAATTTTGATGGATCGTGCTGTAACAGAGGGACTTTGACAAAATACCCAAGTTTGAGCCACGGTGCTCTTGAGAAAAACTGGACAGGCCTGATATGATAAAAGATGCTAGCTCAGTCCAGCCCCTGGGCTCGTGCTTCCTGGATCCCTCCCCAGTTCTGAGTTGCATGTGGGGTGCTCTCTGTGAGCCGTATCCACTGTCAGGCTGACAAATGGGATCCCCCACCCTCTGCGCTTTCACTCCAATAGGATTCACAAGCCTGGCATTGAGGAAGGAGTACATGATTGCAGTCAGAAGGCCTAGGCCCCTGGATCTGGTTCTCATCACCTGTATAACCTAATGCTGGTCATCCCTTATCAATCCCCTCACCTAGAAAATGGGCTTGCTGGTAACCCCTGCTTTATGTGGCTATAAGCACGGAAGCAATCACCACACATGCATTAACTTTCTGTTATTATTTTTACCCTAACATACTTCAAAAAGACATCGTTTTCATGCACATTATTCTAGTGTGGCATCGAGGCATGTTGCCTTTAGAGTCAAACTGCAGTCGAGGACCAGTGGCTGGCACAGTGCCTACAATGCTGTCTGTTGACTGATCACTTGTCTTTTCATGTCCTCCCTTTTTCTTTCTTTCTCTTTTTTTTTTTTTAAATTTTACATTGGAATATAGTTGATTTACAATGTTGTGTTAGTTTCAGGTGTACAGCAAAGTGATTCAGTAATACATATACATGTATCCATTCTTTTTCAGATTCTTTTCCCATATAGGTTATTACAGAATATTGAGTAGAGTGCCCTGTGCTGTATAGTAGGTCCTTGCTGATTATCTATTTTATATATAGTAGTGTGCATATGTTGATTCCCAACCTCCTAATTTATCCCTCCCCGCCATCTTTCCCCTTTGGTAACCATAAATTTGTATTCGAAGTCTGTGAGTCTGTTTCTGTTTTGTACATAAGTTTGTATCTTTTCATTTTTTAGGTTTTTAAAAATATTTATTTTATTTATTTTTTGGCTGCATTGGGTCTTAGTGCGGCACACGGGGTCTTTGTTGAGGCGTGCAGGATCTTTCCCTGCAGCGCGGGCTTCTCTCTAGTTGTGGCGTGCGGGCTCCAGGGCACGTAGGCTCTAGTTTGCGGCATGCGGGCTCTCTCGTTGAGGCGTGAGAGCTCAGTAGTTGTGGCATGTGGGCTTAGTTGCCCCACGGCATGTGGGATCTTAGTTCCCCGACCAGGGATCAAACCTGCGTCCCCTGTATTGGAAGGCTGATTCTTTACCACTGGGCCACCAGGGAAGTCCCTGTATCATTTTTTTAGATTCCACATATAAGTGATATCATATGATATTTGTCTTTCTCTGTCTGACTTAACTTTGCTTAACATGATAATCTCTAGTTCCATCCATGTTGCTGCAAATGGCATAATTTCATTCTTTTTTATGGCTGAGTAATATTCCCTTGTATATATATACCACATCTTCTTTATCCATTCATCTGTCAATGGACGTTTAAGTTGCTTCCATGTCCTGGCTATTGTAAATTGGGGGTCCCCAACCCACAGGCCACGGACCGGTACCAGTCCATGGCCTGTTAGGAACTGGGCCTCACAGCAGGAGGTGAGCGGCGGGCGAGCAAGCGAAGCTTCATCTGCCGCTCCGCATTGCTCCCCATCGCTCGCATTACCGCCTGAACCATTCTGCCCACCCCCACCCACCACCCATGGAAAAATTGTCTTCCACAAAACTGGTCCCTGGTGCCAAAGAGGTTGGGGACCGCTGTTGTAAATAATGCTGCAATGAACATTGGGGTACATGCCTCTTCTCGAATTATGGCTTTCTCCAGATATATGCCCAGGAGTGGGATTGCTGGATCATATGGTAATTCTATTTTTAGTTTTTTAAGGAACCTCCGTACTGTTCTCCATAGTGGTTGTACCAATTTATGTCCTCCCTTTTTCATAAGTAGTGAAAGCATTGTCCTCTAGAACAGCCGAACAGTGTTAGAACAGCTAAAGCACTAAGTATGATCTCAGACCCTATGAAACTCTGGTGATATGTAATGGCTTGCCTGCCATGCCCCCAAATCTCATCCCTGACCCTTAGGGATAAGCAGGTGCCAGGAATCACTTCCCTATTTTGCAGCTGGGGACAGAGAAGCAAAGGCTGGAGAAGGAGCCTGCCTCATAGACTCTGTCAGAATCAGAAATGGTGTAGACATCTCTTCCCTTAAGTCTCTGACTCCATCCTTTCTTTAGGCCAATGCCTCATATTCATTCCAGTGACTTTTCCACCATCCTTGTATAGGCTTTCTCCTCTGGCCTGAAGAAGAGAGACAGGATGCTTAAATACACACTGGCTGAGGGAGACAGACACTCAACTAGGCTTGGAGCCGTGGTGGTGAATTTACTTTTTTGTCTCCTTGATCACTTTTCCCTGTCTTTCTAGGACTACAGCATGAGGGAATCTTCCGAGTGTCAGGATCGCAGGTGGAAGTGAATGACATCAAAAACGCCTTTGAGAGAGGTGAGGAAACAGCCTGAAAGATAAGGCCAAATGTTTGCCAGCCCCCCAGGATACTAGCTCCACGCTTTCTCCCTGAGAGGTACCCAGAGGTTAGCAAGCCAGTTTGCCTCCGTCTTCAGCCCAGCACCTTCTCTCTTGTAGACATACCCCCACCCCCACCCAGATATGCAGGGAGGTGCCAGGGTACATCCCAGTTTCCTCCTTCTCAGCCCCATTCATCCTGCCCCTCTCCTCCAGATGATCTACCCAAACCCAAGAAGTTAACTATGATATCTAGGCAGTTTATGGCTGTATCCAGAACCCTTGGTGGCAGAGCGAATGCACCTGTTCATCTTAGCCCATTTATTATCTTGTGGGCTATTAAGGTAATGGACAAGCTTTGGCAATTTCCGTCGCTGAAATGGATATGTATAGTTTCAATTTGAAGTTGGTCCTATCATTAAATCTAATTACATCTGATATGAAATTTTCCATAGGGAACTCCAGTATGATTGTTCTCCTGTAAGTAGGTGTGCTTTGTTACAGGCCAAGAGGAGAGAGAGCTAATCAGAGGGGCTGGCCTCCCTGGCCTCATTTCCCTCCCCTAGGGGCTCAGTCCCAGCCTGGTTTCATGATCTCATGAGAGAGCCAATTGCTGTGTCCCATCCCCAGCCCAGAGGGAATGTCCCTGAACCAGTCTGGCACAAGCAAACTTATGTTAATGGACTTTTGTGCCCCTCCTCTGGCCCCGGGGCCCCTGAGCCTAAGCAGTCTTTGCTTTTGCTAGTCCCTGGTTGCCCTACTCATGGCCAAAGTGCTGGGCAGAAAGCTGATGGACTGCGATGAAGATTTGAATAGGCCACTCCTTCCCCACCACCTCTGCTTCATCCTGTTTGTTTTTACCTCTCTCACTCTCTTTCCTTTTTGGGGGGATTGCTTATCCTTAGGAGAGGACCCCCTGGCTGGAGACCAGAATGACCATGACATGGACTCCATAGCTGGCGTCCTGAAGCTTTACTTCCGGGGGCTGGAACACCCTCTCTTCCCCAAGGACATCTTCCATGACCTAATGGCCTGCGTCAGTAAGTATCATCCTGGCCTCAGATTGGCTTCTTGGCCAGAGCACCACATAGCAACAGATAACAAATTTCCACAGGGTCTTTTTTTCTCATAAGCTTTCCAGTAATGTTTTCCTTTTTTCCTTTTCCTCGGTGAAGTTTCTCTTCCTTGTTGTCACTCCTTTATCCCCTAGTAGGGGAGGAAAAAGAATGACTTTTCAGGAAGAGTCTGGATCACAAGTCAGAGCTCCTGGCTTTTTTCTTTCTGATTCACTTTAAACTCTGTTGCTTCGCTGGGCTTTATCTTTCTTCATTAAAATACATTTATGTTCATATATAAGACACAGTCCTTTTCAGCTATTAGAAGCTCATATATTAGTGCTTGTGGTTTTCATGATACAAAGGGAGAATACATAAGTGTTACAAATATTTCCTGCTTATTGCTTTAAATATAGCATGACTTACCTGTGAGATGTGTTAATATGTGTTCTAGGAATAAAAACCTCTGCACATTTAAAAGTAGTGATATGATGTTTTCTCAGAGAGAGATAATCCCTACTTGATCTTTAGATAAAGCAGGTATCTTAGAGGTTCTCTGCCTCTTACTCTAAAATTTAGGGCTTGAAAAGCTATTCCTAGCCATTTAGTTTAGATCATTATACTGGACCCCCCTCTCATTTGTTGTCCATGGAAACTTGGATTAGTATTAGGTCATTCTGGAAGCAGACGCCATTGAAATGGTGGCTTCAGAGGCTGGAGGAGGCAATGCCTTTGAAATGGAGAAAAGTTTTTCCTCCCAGATCAACCAAGGTCTTCATCCCCCACCGCCCACCCCCAAGTTTCCAGTTTGATTCCTGAGCACTGTCCCTCTCTGTTATTCTGAGAGAGGGGCCCAGAGCACTCAGGAAGCTAGCTCTCTTGTTTTATTGGTTTACTCACTATCTGTGGGAGTCCTAGTGGAATGTGTTCTGTGGGTGACTGAATATATGCATCCCTCCTACCTTCATGTCTTTTTCCAGGGCTGAGCCTAGGTGGAATACCCTAAGTGGATGGGGGTTGCCAGGACAGTACAAGAGACCTTGGCTGCCCAATCCTCCCCTTGAGATGTGCTCCCGATCTAGTACCTCCCATTTCTTTTTCATGGAGAGGCTCTCCTAGAAAATGACAATATCCACACGGCACACCATGAAAGTGGGGAGGCGGGCCATGAGGGAAGCACAGGCCTAGGGCCGTACCTGGAATTAATCTGTCCACAGCACAAGAGTCAGGAAAATTCTCTGGTTTTCTCCCCAGATATCACTGCTTACACAGGGGCCTGCCATTTCTTGCCTCTGGCCACATTCTCCTCATCCCCACTTCAGATAAGGGAGGGGGGAAGATAAGCCAGACTTGTCCAGGGGATGAGGTGATGCATGTGTGGAGTGGGCAGGACAGGACCTGCGCAGCCCCTCCCTCTCCCCACATGTAGGCCCTCCAAGGCTGGATGTCGAGCAATCACAGCAGTTTCTGGTCAGCTCCTTGCCTATGGTATTGTAATAAGGGATGCTCCCCAGAGCATCTCCAACCCCTTCTGTGCCCAAGGAGCATACATCTTAAGTCCTGACCCGCAAAAGGTTCTAGAGCCTGCATGCCCCATCTCAACAGCCCCACCCCAAGGGGCCACAGAGATGGAGCTCCTTACACTGGCCCAGTGCTGTGTGGACTTGACCAGCTGCTCTCCATATTGCACCCGCTGCTAGTCAGGGCCTTCTGACCACTATTTCCTGGGATCTCAGTTACAATGGAGGGTAACGCATGGCTTTTTTCTTTCAGCAATGGACAACCTGCAGGAGAGAGCTCTGCACATCCGGAAGGTCCTCCTGGTCCTGCCCAAAACCACTCTGATTATCATGAGATACCTCTTTGCCTTCCTCAACCAGTGAGTAGACTTCCCAGGGAGCAACTGATTGGGCCTTAGCTTCGGTCACTGGAAGTTTATGCAGGGACCTATGTTGATTCCTCCAGCCCAACAGATACTTACTGAACACCTGCTGTGTGCTGGGCACAGTCATAAGATGTAAGAATACATTGTGAAATAAGAGACAAAAGCCTGGATACCATTTAGCTCATGTTCCAGCAGAGGACACAGACAATTACAGAAACATGAGGTAGTAATAAGTGCTTAGAAGAATAAGGAAGTGTAAGTTAAGGGATCGGGGCAGAGGTGAAAGAGGGAGAGACACTGCAGAGGGACCTTCAGCAAAGGCCTCTCTGGGGAGACTGTGTAAGCAGCAGCCTAAATGAAGTGAAAGAAGGAGCCACGGGGATGGTCAAGGTCACCAAGCCCCAAAGTCATGGCAACAATGAGTTTAGATTTGAAGAAGCCATTGGAAAGTTTTAAGCAGAAGAGTGTTGTGATCTTGTTTTTTAATATATTTTTAAAATCTGCTTCATGGAGAAGTTACCATAGAGTAATGTGGAGAGAAGTGGGAGAGACCTCACCAGAGGTTATTGTGCAGTCTCGGTCGGGAGTGGTGGTGGCTTAGACCAGAGAGGGAATGGTGGAGGGTGATGAGGGGTCAGGTGGAGGATCTATTTGGAATACAGCTTTGATAGGACCTGCTGATGGGTAGGATATAGAATGTGAGGAAAGAGAAAAATTCTACATTTTTGACATGAGCAGCAGGGAAGCCGTGATGCCATTTGTGGAGCTGGGGAAGACAAGATGTGGAAGAAGTAATCAGAACAAGGTGCTAATGTGGCCACATGTTAACTTGAGGTACCCCTCAAGTTAGCCCTCCAGGTGGAGAGTCTAAGTAGGCAGCTGAACATAGGAATCAGATGCTCATGGAAGAAACCTGGAGCAGAGATACAGTGTGAGGTCATTGTGTACTGATGGTATTTAGCTGGTCAGCCGGGGAGTGAGTGTAGCTAGAAGAGAGGTCTGAGGATCAGAGGGACCTTGGGCTTAGCCGGAGTATTTCTCCCTGTCTAAGCAGTGTGTCCTTGCCCAGGGCAGGCATGGAGGGCAGCAAAGACAACGAGCAAGGACATGCTTCTCCCCTTAGGCACCTCTGTCTTTCTACGTTGCTTTCACTGCAGCATCTCCCTCAACAGCCTAGGCCAAAGTCTATCAGTGGGCAACCCGAGGGCCAGATAAGGCCTATAGATGTGTTCCCTTTAAGTCCACTCTGTCTTGAAAACATTGAACCATTTAAATATTGGGAGATTTTACTTTTTAAAAAAATCTAGATTTCTAACTTCTCTTGAAAAAATCACTAGGTCTAGCAGCACTGGATCTGCACGCCCACGCGGCCGCAGTTCCCTGTGGAGTACGGGCTGCTGCCTAGATGAGGCGGTCAGGCGCCCCCAGTTCACCACAGTCCCCAGCTCTCCCTGAAACTCCCTGATGCTGAGGCTGAATTCAGTTGCCGTTATCATCTCTCTGGCTTTATGGCTTTTCATAGAGTGGGGAAACATTTCTTTAGATCCATGAATCTATTTTTTTTAAAAAGGGAAAACAAAAAGTAGACCAAGGGGCTAGGGTGTTTTAGCTCATATTGCTTTGTGAAAATGAAGACTCTTCCTAGTGGGTTGGTCCCTACTTCAAAGAAATACAAGTTCAGAGGCCGTCTCAGCCTCTGCTTACAGACCAGAGTCAGCCTGACCTTGAGGCATCTGGGCTAGCAGCCCCCACCTGAGACCTTTCAGGGGCAACCACACTGTCCTCTATCCCTGTTGCTGGCCCTGCAGAGTGACAGAGGGTCCTGGCCCAGCAGCCTGCCGCTTCCGCGTGGCTGTGTCTGCACCATTCATTAGCCAAGCCCTGACTCAGCACCCCAACTGCCTTTAGTTGAGAACCCCTCATGACTCGCACAGGGTTTCACATGCTGCCCGTTTTAGGCAGACGGAAACTCTGGTAATGACTCTCAAGCCAGTCGGTCCCCTCAGGGCCACCAGGCCTTGTCTCCCCTCATTGACCGATACCTGCCCTCAAAGAGCCTAGTCTGCTCCCGCAGAGCGAGGAACATGTCGGTCGTGGGTAAACAGGCAGGGGAGCAGGCAGGTCCTGGGGTGACATGTGTGTAAGCACAATGGCCTCATCCTGCCCACATTTTCCTCCTGCTAAGTGGAGGGGTGAGGGAGTTTGTGGGTGGGGAGAAACGGTAGAGGAAGCATCATAAGAGCTGGAGGGGGTGTGGCCACTGTCGAAGGAAACCTGGAAAACTGCACCCATTCAAATGATGACTTTTGTTTTGTTTCACTTCTTTTTCTGGTTAAAAAATTATTAACTTGCTCATCAAAGTCTTTCATTGAAAGATGCAGCATTAATAACCACAGTGTTTCCTAAAATAATAAATGGAGTGCAGGACACAGGTGATAGAGAAGACCACCTGCCTGCACAGGAAGGTGACAGGTGATAAGTATGCAGACTGGGCCCAGTCTGGAAACTCTCCCTGGGCCCAGACTTTTAGGACCCCTCTCCTTTGCTGTTACATGTCCTGACAGTGTATACTTTATTTCTGGCTATTGTCTTTTTTGGGGTTGCACACATCCTCCATCTCAAGGAACCCCCAGAACTGAGATATATGTATGGAACTCTTTACACAGTGCACCAGTGCTGTGTGGACTTGACCTGGTTCCACATATATCTATATAGCTAGTGTTCAATCCACTCCATGAACCTTGGGTACATGCCTGTCCAGCAGGCCTTGTTAATTGTTAATTATTAATGTTATCCTTTCTTAGCATCTGCATTGATGATCAATTGCTGTGTAATAAATTACCCTAAAACTTAGCAACTTCAAACAATAAGCATTTATTGTTATGTCACAGTTTCTGTGGATCAGGAATCTAGGTGCAGCTTAGCTGGGGCCTCTGGCTCCAGGTTTCTTGAGGTTACAGTGAGTGTATTGGGGGCAGGGCTGTAGTTTCTTCTGAAGGCTCGACTGGGAAAGGATCCACATGGTGTTGGCAGGATTCAGTCCCTTGCAGGTTGTTGGACTGAGGGCCTCCTTTCCTGGCTGGCTGTTGGTCAGAGGCCTCCATCAGTTCTGCACCACATGGGCCTCACCATAGAGCTGCTCGTGACATGGCAGCTGGCTTTCTTCCAAGCCAGTGAGTGAGAGAGTGCCCAAGAGAGCAGCCAGTCTTTGTAACCTAATCTCAGAAGTGACGTCCCATCACTTCTGCCATACTCCATTCACTAGAAGCGAGTCACTAAATCTAGCCCACACGCAAAGGGAGAGAACTACACAAGGGCATGAATACCAGTAGGCAGGGACCATAGTGTTCATTTTAGAGGCTGCCGGCCACAGCATCTGTACTACTCAGTGGGTTTTCACCCTGAAACAAAGTGCAGGTAGCTCCCCCTCACTGCTGCTGACTCTGCTGCTTGCGTTTTGAAACCTGATTTCTTCAGATGTCAAACGATATAGACTTTTAGTCTCTTGCTAATCAAGTGAGGTCCATAGACCAGCAGCATCAGCATCATCAGGGAGATTGTTAGAAATGCAGAATCTCAGTTCCTCCCCCACCCCACCCCCAATGACCCATGAATCAGAATCTGTATTTTGACAAAATCCCGATGAGTCATAGGCACATGAAGGTCCGAGAAGCATCACTCTACATCCTCAAATATTGCTCCATAATCTGAAAGAGGGAATTGGTGGTGCTTCCTTCACTGTTAAGGCACCTCAGCAGCTCTCCAGAAAAGCTGAGTCTTCCTCCAAACTTCACCATCTCAAGTGCCTCCCAGTTTGGAAAGATTCTGTCTGCACTGCTCTTCTGACTTTCACAAGGAGTGTTTTAGCTTCTGTATGAAAACGGACAAGTAGAATTGTGGCTGGATTGTCCTAGAGACTTACAGATGCTCATGTATTTATTCACTTATTTATTTAACATGTATTTATTAAGCATTTACTGTGTGCTAGGCCCTGTTTTAGTTGCTGGATATCTAAGATTGCACCAAACAGTCAAGGTCTCTGCCCTCATGGAGCCTACGTAGCACATAGAACTGGAGGAAGACAGGCAAAACTGATAAGAACACATGTCATGGGACTTCCCTGGTGGCACAGTGGTTAAGAATCCACCTGCCAATGCAGGGGACACGGGTTCAAGCCCTGGTCCAGGAAGACCCCTCATGCCATGGAGCAACTAAGCCCATGAGCCACAACTACTGGTTCTGTGCTCTAGAGCCCACGAGCCACAACTACTGAGCCCACGTGCCACAACTACTGAAGCCCACACGCCTAGAGCCCATGGTCTGCAAGAAGAGAAACCAACGCAATGAGAAGCCCGCTCACCACAACGAAGAGTAGCCCCTGCTCGCCGCAACTAGAGAAAGCCTGCACACAGCAGTGAAGACCCAACACAGCCAAAAAGAAAGAAATTAATTTTAAAAAATAAAGAGGCTTCCCTGGTGGCGCAGTGGTTGAGAGTCCGCCTGCTGATGCAGGGGACACGGGTTCATACCCCGGTCTGGGAGGATCCCACATGCCACAGAGCGGCTGGGCCCGTGAGCCATGGCCACTGAGCCTGCGAGTCCGGAGCCTGTGCTCCACAACGGGAGAGGCCACAACAGTGAGAGGCCTGCGTACCACAAAAAAAAAAATAAAAAAAAAGAAGAACATATGTCATATGTCAGAGGATAAGGGCTGTGGAGAAAATTAAAGCATGTTACAGGGGTGCTTCCCTGGTGGTGCAGTGGTTAAGAATCTGCCTGCCAATGCAGGGGACATGGGTTCGAGCCCTGGTCCATGAAGATCCCACATGCCACGGAGCAACTAAGCCCGTGTGTCACAACTACTGAGCCTGAGCTCTAGAGCTCACGAGCCACAACTACCGAAGCCCACGTGCCTAGAGCCTGTGCTCCATAACAAGAAAAGCCACCACAATGAGAAGCCTGCGTACCGCAAGGAAATGTAGCCCCTGCTCGCCACAATTAGAGAAAGCCGACGTGGCAGCAAGGAAGACCCAAAGAAGCCAAAAATAAACAAATAAATAAATAAAGCATGTTAGGGGGCTGGAGAGTGTAAGGGGTGGGTGTGAGGGTTTCCTCTTTAATATACAGTGGTCAGGGACACCTCACTGAGCAGGTGACAGTGGGCAGTGGTATAGGAGGAGGACCAAGAGGGAATGGTGTCCCAGAAGCCGCATAATGTGTTTCAAGGAGGGTGTGATAACTGGGATAATATGATGACAGGTCAGCTAAGAAAAGGACTAAGAACTGATTTAGCAGCATAGATGTCACTAGTGACCTTGATGGGCGTTGTCTTTGTGGAGGAGGAGGGGCAAAATCCTGATGGTGTCAGTTCAAGCGAGAAGGGGTGCTGATGCTGGATAAACAAAATGTGGTAGATCCGTACAGTGGGGTCGTATTCAGCTAAATGCTACTGGACCATACACTTTAAAATGGTTAAAATGGTAAATTTTCTGTTGTGTGTATTTTACCACGATAGAGGGGTTGGGGGGGCCACATGGGAAGAGAAGTAGGTGTGTGAATCTGCTAGGGCTGCCGTAACAAAATACCATAGACTGGGTGGCTTAAACAACAGAAATTTGTTTTCTCACAGTTCTGAAGTCTGGGAGTGCAAGATCAAGATGCCAGCAGGGTTGGTTTCTGGGGAGATCTGTCTCCTTGGCTTGTAGACAACCACCTCACTGCGTCCTCACGTGGCCTTTCTTTGTGCACACACTGGGAGACAGAGCTCTGCTCTCTTTTCCTCTCCTTATAAGGATACCAGTCCTGTAGGGTTTGGGCCCCACCCATATGACCTCATTTAACCTTAATTACCTCCTTAAAGGGCCTGTCTCCAAATACAGTCATTACAGTCAAGTTAGGGCTTCAACATATGAATTGGGGGGCAGGGAGGACACAATTCAGTCCATAACAGAACCGGTAAAGAAGAACCAGAGACAACTCTCAAAGAATTTTATTATAAAGAGAAGAGAATGGGACAGTAATTCAGCATGGATATGGACTTAAGAGAAAATATTGTTTTTAAGATGGGTGGTATTGCTGCACATTGGCATGCTGGTGGGGGTGACCCCATAGAGAAGAACTAATGATGGAGGAGAGAGCAAGGTAATTGCTGGAGTGCTATTCTTGAGGAGGTGAGAGGGGATGGGATTGACTGCATAGGGAGGAAGGCAAGTCAGTTAATAGATGTGGGAGCATGGAAGTTGGGGACAGGTGGCTTTATAGGCAAGGGGAGTGAGGGAGTGCCTTTGAAGGGCCATCAGGAAGAGTCAGCCACAGTTACCTTCCACTTCTTATCTCTTAAGGAGCCTTTTGGGAAAGTCTGTTAAACCATGGATTTACAGATTCTCAACCCCACGTTTTGCCTGGGGCCATGGTGAATAATACAATTTCTCTTCATCCCTTTCAAACCTGAAATCAACCCTGATGCATAATATCTTACCCATGGTCTGTTGGGTGTTGCCAAATCAAACCCCTGGAGGCCGTGAAGTTGAAGGTTTTTAATGGAAACGTCATATGTTTAAAACTGTGTTCAAAGCTTCATGCTCTCCCTGAGGATTTAAGGTTTTGATTTGGGGATGCAGAGCCCTCAGCTTGTTAGATTATGCCTGTCAGGAGGAGAAGACAGTGGACACCTGTAAGTCAATTACTGCCAAGCGTCAGCGGCCCTGCTTTTCTATTCCCTGACTGGAATCAAAGGTCCTATGTCGGGCTTCCCTGGTGGTGCAGTGGTTGAGAGTCCGCCTGCCGATGCAGGGGACACGGGTTCGTGTCCCGGTCAGGAAGGGTCCCACATGCCGCAGAGCAGCTAGGCCTGTGAGCCATGGCCGCTGAGCCTGCGCATCTGGAGCCTGTGCTCCGCAACGGGAGAGGCCACAACAGTGAGAGGCCCGCGTACCGCAAAAAAAACAAAAGATCCTATGTCAAGAAGCAAACAGGACATTAAAATGACAGAAAATATTTCTTAAACATCACCTATGTGCCAGGCACAGTGCTAAGTGCTTTGCACATATTACCTCATTTAATCTTCACAACAGCCCATCAAGGGGGCACATAATTGCCCCCATTTTATGAAGAAACTAGGGAACTAGTACAAAACGATGGTAAGCAATGGAGCTGGGACTCAAAACCAGGTCTGCTTAACTCTAAAATTCTTGGGATGTTTTGTTTTTCTTTTTAAATGTAATCAGAGATACAAATGTGCATCATTTTTTTTAAACATCTTTATTGGAGTATAATTGCTTTACAATGTTGTGTTAGTTTCTGCTGTATAACAAGGTGAATCAGCTATATGTATACATATATCCCCATATCCCCTCCCTCTTGCGTTTCCCTCCCACCCTCCCTATCCCACCCCTCCAGGTGGTCACAAAGCACTGAGCTGATCTCCCTGTGCTACGCTGTTGCTTCCCACTAGCTATCTATTTTACGTCTGGGAGTGTATATATGTCAATACAACTCTCTCACTTCGTCCCAGCTTCCCCTTCCCACTCCCCGTGTCCTCAAGTCCATTCTCTACGTCTGCGTCTTTATTCCTGTCCTGCTCCTAGGTTCTTCAGGACCAACAAATGTGCATCATTTAAAAGTAAAAAGTCCAGAAAAGTGCATGATGAAAAATAGTTTTCCCACGCCAATCCTGATTTTCTCATTCCCCCCAAAACCCACTACACTGGACCTTTTTAAGGTGCTCAAAAGAGGATTAGTTCAAATCAATTAGGAAAGTTCACTCGTGTTATGGACAGAACCTAAAGAAATATAGTACAGTTCTTAGAGGAGATGGCATATATAGAAGTCGATACCAAAAAAACATTTTTTTTAAAGAGGGAGCTGTTACCAGTATTATCCATTTTAGATATTTCTTCAAAAATAAAAATCCAGTATTTGAGGTCTTATACTAGGTACAGCCATCAGAGTCTTCAGGGATTATTAGCACCATTATATTATATACAAAATTGTGTGCATTTGTTATGTGCTCATATATGAAATTTCCCTGGGGAGAGAATCCTTAGTTTTTGTCAAATTCTTGAAGGAGCCTGTGTCCCTCAAGTAGTTAAGCACCATGGCTTTACCCCCAGAACTTAGGTGTTCCAGTAGATTGGAAGAGAAAGAAGGATCTTGGTCTGTATTTTAATGGGAATAAGAAATGGACCTGGACCCATGAGAAGTGGACCCCAGTGCACAAACACAGGTCCTCTCCGGTCCTGGTCATTGTAGCCACCTAGGAGTTGAGCAGTCTTTGCCTTAGAAGGCCGGGAAAGATTCCTCTTCTCTCACTGAGCTTAGACTGGGACCCTCAGGCCTAGAGTTTATCTCCCTTTGGCCACCAGGCTTCCCAGAAACTACTGCTTTCCTTCCATGTTACCAAAACATTGTCAGATCACACTAAAGAAACGGGCTTCCTCCTGCTTGTCCCTCCATGACTCGAGGAACCAGCCAGCCTGGCATGGGCTACAATTTTAGCCCCGTGGCACCTCATGCCTCCGTTGTCCCTGCTAAGGTTCCCAAGCTAATTATCTCTCCTGTCTCTCTCCAGTTTTGATTTAACCAAGAAGTAGACTTAGAAACTTCTACCAGCCTTTTCTGAATCTCTGCTCTCTTTTAACTCAGGAGCCAGAGAAGGATTATAAAATTAAATCTTTAAAACCTCCTATGACGCAGTCCAGCCACTGAGATCCATCAACACACCCATCTCAGGCCTCCCTGCATCTGACCGGGTCCTACAGAGCAGTGGTTCTCAGCCATGACAGTTGTTTGTCACTGTCCCACTTCATTGTCCCACTTCACATGTTCTGCAGTGATTCTGTGAGGGGACCGGGGATGTATCTGAATCTTCAGTGAAGGAGAGAATCATTGAGATAGAGACCAGCTTGGTCATTTGAGTCTGGGTGCTGGATACACTAGAAGTAAACTCTGCTCAATTCTGAAGAACAGCTACTCAGATGAAGACAGCTGAGTCCCAGGGCTCTGGCTCAGCACCATGGCTTTGGTATTCTCTGTCAGAATCCAGATGCCCACGAGGGAGGCTGAACCCTGTAGCAGAGCTCACATTTCTGCAGACTCCTAGGGGCAGGGTACATCCAGAGCTAGCCCAGCCTTCAGTGCCTGGACAGACCAGTGGGCACTCACAACTGAAGGGCTTGGGTCCTTGGCCAAGGTTGGAGGTATGGCTGGAGCAGCTGCTGGCTGGAAAGGGGGAGTTCCTGGAATAAAATACCCAATAATGAAGTCAGACTGTGTCCCGGGGAAGCCTGAGCAGGAGCTGAGCTACATGCTGACCTTTTCCTGAATAAATCCTGAGTGTAATAGTGGAGGAGGATATTATGAAAATGGAAAACAATTGCATTAGCTATTCCAGGAAGAAGTTCACGGGCTTGATGGAATACAAAAGCTAATGGGTTGGCTATTTTTTAAAATAAGTCTAGAGCTTAGAATGGAATATCCCTAATAATTTGATTATTTTGCCATTCAAGAAGGTACACAACGCACAATGCCTGCGTCTTCTGACCGTGTCATTACCAGGACAGCCCGAGGGGCTCCGTCTGTTCTGTCGGCTTAGTGGGTTGGTCTGTGGGAGCGTATCCAGCTCTGCAGAGTGGTGTGTCCTCAAGGCAGGGTGGATTTGGTGGATATGGTCTAGGGTCGGGGTGGGGATTGGGGGGTAAGTAAGATTTGAACAGGGAGCTAGAGAAAGAGGAGGGGTGAGATCTGCAAGGAGGGACCTCCACTTGGCCTTCCCTTGGCTCCTGAATGACTGTCCTGGTGGTCATTCTCTTCTCCCCCTACCAGCTTTCTAGAAGGGCTCTGATGCCCAGAAAAGCAGGTGGCCGTTTGTGCTGCTTCTGTTCTTGCTCCTGGCAGCGCCTCCTGTGATTGTGTTTTCTGGGCATTCATGCGAGTGCTTTTCAGCTTTGCCCCCTTTTCCTTCTCCTCCAGTTTATCACAGTTCAGTGAAGAGAACATGATGGACCCCTACAACCTCGCCATCTGCTTCGGGCCCTCGCTGATGTCAGTGCCTGAGGGCCATGACCAGGTGTCCTGCCAAGCCCACGTGAATGAGCTGATCAAAACCATCATCATCCAGCACGAGAACATCTTCCCAAACCCTAGGGAGCTGGAGGGCCCCATCTACAGCAGAGGAGGGAGCACGGAGGATTACTGGTAGGGGGCTCAGGGTTGGAGGAGGGAAAATGTCACCAACACGCACTGGCATGGGGGCCAGATGGCCAAGCGAGACCGAGGGAAACACCCAGATCCTCCCCACCTCCCACTCCGAGGCACTTCAAGCTGCCAGGATCAGGGGTTGCTGTAGGCAGGGCCCCACCTCGACCCAAACTACTAAGTGCCACTTCAGGCTGCCTCCTTTTTAACGAGTTCTGAGTGATGAGAGACCATTCTGAAAGATAACGACAGCAATAACGGGAACATTAACGATCTCCAGGAAAGGAAATTTGATCAGGTTGTACGCAGAACTGCCGTTCATCAGGCAGCAGTGTCTTTCTGGCTCCTGCTCGGAGCTGGCTGTTGTGAGAAGAACAGTCCTGCGTCCCAGGGAATTTCTGTCTTATTGGGAAGATTTCAGTTATGAAGCGTTATTTCCTGACTGTGAGTTTATACAATGATAATTTAATAATGATCTCAGACATTTGTGGTGAGAAAGTGGGGTAAGGTCCATTTTCGGCAGGTTAGGCCCAGTGCCCCACTGAAGCAGGTTCGTCATGACTTACCTGGAAACAGATATAAAAGGAATCCCTAGGGCACATCTTTACTAGACCCTTCCGTTAGACAAATGAAAGATTTCCATTTTACAGATTAAGTCATTGCAATCTAGAGAGGCCAGGGACAATCTTTGAGGCCACCCCAGAGGTGGGGATCCCAACCCTGACCCCTTGACTGTCAGTGCAGGGTACCACCCACTGCCCCACGCTGCCCCCATCGTGCCACTTACAGGGTCATTTTCCCAGTAAACGCAAAGACAACTGCCTCTCTCTTTTACTCCCCAACATCCCTTACCTCTTCCTCCTCCTCCCTTTCCCTTCTTCCCCTAAACAGTGTTTCAGCCTGGGCTGAAAGCATAAGCCAGCCCAAATCAGATTCCATCTGAATTCAACATCTGGAAGCAATTCAGCCAGCCCCATTGCTATGGACTGAGGTAGGGGAGGACAGGGGAGGTTGCTTACTTAATGAGAGGCCAGTCAGTCCATGCTTCTCCCTGATCCCCACAGAAGGAGCCTCCAAGGAGTGAGGAAAGTGCTATTCATGTGTCTGTGAACATAAAAATACCACTGACATTGCTGAGTTCGGTCTTCTCTGCTGTCCTGTAGATCCCGGCATCTGAGGCTGAGCTGGAGAAATCTAGGCTCACCAGCTCGGAGAGAAAGCTTCCGGTCACTGACAGATGGCTGGTGGGGACTAGGGATGTTGTTCGAGGCTCAGCCTACTGGCTGGTGGGCTCCAGGGAGCTGTCCTTGTGCATGTGACTTAGAGAGTTGGTTACCCTTGCGTGAGTGTTGAAAAGCTGTGGAATAGTGTTCCCGATTCCTGCTTCACCTGCCTTCTCACATATCAAACCACTGCAGGCTCTGGACCCATTCCAGGACACAGAGCCCCACCTCACGGCCCGGTGCAGCAGGGCCCTCGTAGGGCTCACTGGGCACAGATGGGAGGGCACCTTCCTCTCAGTTCTGTCCAAGGTCTTCTCCCAGCTCAAAACCACCACCCCCCGGCCCCATTGGTTGTGCATCTGCCATTTATTAGCAGCCTCTGGGAAAACCACAAGATTAGTCAGGGCCTGTTACTACCACAGACTGGCTGGAAGGCCAGAAGCACCCCAGGATCAAGAGTAAATGACCTGGGCTTCCCTGGTGGCGCAGTGGTTGAGAGTCCGCCTGCCAATGCAGGGGACACGGATTCGTGCCCCAGTCCGGGAAAATCCCACGTGCCAAGGAGCGACTAGGTCCGTGAGCCATGGCTGCTGAGCCTGCACGTCCGGAGCCTGTGTTCCGCAACGGGAGAGGCCACAACAGTGAGAGGCCCACGTACCGAAAAAAATGGCAGGCCAGGTGATACAAAATAACACATAACCAATCTGGAAGGTAAAATAATGGAAATCACTCAACCAGAACAGAAAAAAGAAAACCAAATTTAAAAATGGGGGCAATTTAAGAGACGACTAAGACAATATCAAGCATACTAACATTCATTTTATAGGGGTCCAGGAAGGAAAAGAGAGAGAGAAAATGTTCAAAACTATATCTGATAAAATTTTGGCTGAAAACTTCTCAAACCTGTGGAAGGAAACTAATATCCAGGTAAGGAAAGCACAGAGAACCCCAAACAAGAGAACCACACACAGACATATTATATTAAAATGGCAAAAGTTAAACATAGAGAGTCCTAAAGGCAGCAAAAAAAAAAAAAAAAAAAAAAAAAAAGGAAGAGTAAATGACCTTGGGTAGGAGGGACCATCTGACTGCTGGGTTCATAGCCACTCAGAAGGCTCCCAGCCTCTCCATTAGAAGAGAGAGAAGTGCCAGCAAAGTGAGCTAAGATGGATGAAGGAGGGGAGGGAGGGGTGGCAAAGGGGGAGTCAGAGCCCAAGTATACTGGAGATGGGCCAGGAGACCAGAACAGCCAGGAAGAGGGAGCACCAAGGCCACTTGGCCTCCCCGCAGCCCCACTGCACCACACTTACCAGCCCTGAAACCGGAACCCAGTTTTCCAGGACTGCCTGTGGTGTAGCATGCTGGGCTGCTTCTGAGACCACAGGTGTTAGGGAGGCTGGGGTGTGCGTGTGGAATGAGAGAAGCATAGCGTTTCAGGGCTAGAAGGGACCTTATAAAGCATCAGCTTGTCTTTACCTTAGAGCAGTGGTTTTCAAAGTGGCCTCCCTGGACCAATGGCACCTGCCTTACACGAGCTGATTAGGAATGCAAGTGCCCCGACTCCACCCAGACCTAGTGAATCAGAAACTCTGGGAGTGGGTGAGGCAGTCTCTTTTTAACAAGCAGTCCAGGGCTCCGTGAAATTTGGGAGCTGCCGCCTTAGTGGACACCAAAGAAATGAACTCAGAGGCCTGGGGAAAAGTGAGCCTTTGAACTGCACACCCCTGGGGTCCTGAGGGTTTCCAGAATGTCACCAAACTCATTCAGAGGGTTTTGAGGCCCAGAAAACAGTGAGAAAGTGTGCCCACATTTTCTGATAAAGAGGAATCCCTGTTGATGTTCTCCCATAATGTTCTCTGGGGTCTGGAGAGCCTCCTTGGAACTGCCTTGCTTCACACGGGGTGAGTTCTAAATTAGTCCCCTGGTCTTTGAGGAACTTTCTAGGAGTGAAGGACCCATCCGCTGAGGAGGGAGAGGCTGTAGGCTCAAAGGTAGAAACAAGCCAGGATGTGGGTTTGAGGGGTGATGGTGCTTCCGTAGAACTGCCTGGAAAGTCTCACTTGTTACTACCTACCACCAGAGGAAGAAACTTTAGAAATGAACAGGGTTTTTCCGCTACTTTTCAGGAAGTCAGAACTTCTTGGTGCCCCTTCCCATGCACTCTGAAGTCCAAGAGATCAGGAGTAGAAATGACTTTCCTAATAACTTCCCTGCTCATTCTCGATTCTCCACCCTGGGTAATTTTAGGCTCCATGAATTCTGTCAAGAACTTGACCCAGCTCTCATCCGCTGCCCTCTTGCAGTGTCCAGCCCACAGCAGACTTTCTTCCCCTGCTTGTGTTTCCCACTCATTTCTATGACTCACCTCCTACTTTCTCACCAGTAGTAAACCACAAAGCAGCCAGAGACATCAAGCAAAATGAGAAAGAAGGAAAGAAAGCACTGCTTATTAATCACTCCCTCTTATTTCATTGAATCCTAACACAACTCTGTGAGATATATAGACCATTATCCTCGATTTATAGATTAGGTAGCTGAGGCTGAAAGAGATTAAGTAATTGCCCAGGGTCACACAGCTACCAAGTGTCAGAGCTGGTATTCGGATCCAGTTGTATCCGATGCTAAAGCCCAGGGTTTCCCTTCCACCATGCTCCCTCCAGGAACTAATTCACCTAGAGAAATAGCCCTTGAGGAGCTAAGTTGTTCCGTATTTTTGAAAAGATTTATAAGTTCAAATGCGGTTCCTCTTGTCTCAAGATGTTGTAAGTCCCATGTAGTCTCAAGTAGTTTTTGTAGCGGGAGCTAGCCTAGAGAATCTCGAGAGCCTTACATTTCATTATAAGCATCTGTCTGGAGTATGTGATCAGGATCTAGAGAGTCTAGGATAGATCCCATGTCCAAGGAAGCTGTGTGAAAGAGAAGACAAGAATTTTGTAAGCAAATGCTGAGGTCCCAGTTACTCTTGGTTCTGTTGCAGTGACAGCCCTCACGGAGAGACTACCTCGGCTGAAGACTCAACCCAGGATGTGGCCACAGAGCACCACACAAGTGATGATGGTACGAGGCCCCACTTGGAGTCAGTGGGACTGTGGGGTGGTGAAGCAGAGAGATTATATATCCTGTGCTCCTGATGACCCTTCCTGTCCAGCAGTCCCCTCAAGACGAGCAGGGAGCTCTCCTGCCTCCCAGCTTCATTCCTTCCCTTTCTTGGAGAGACAGCCCACCTTCTCAAATAGAGTGGTCTCTGTATTAAACCAGAAGTGAAGAGCTAGACCTTAGCCCCTCACCCTTCACCCTTCTCGCCCCACCTCACTGCCCCTCATCCACCTCCCAGCTCTTTGTCTCATCTGGCTGTCTCACCAGCATACTGTCAGTCCCTTGTCATGGCCCAGACTCCTGCCAGGTAGCTGGAGACCAAAGGGAAGGAGAGCTCATTTGAAAAACAGAGGGCCCAGGGAATAGTGAAGCTGGGTGCCAAGAACCCGACAGAAGCAAGCCAGAGGGGGATGGGAATCAGGATGCAGAAACCACATGCTCTCACGCCTGCCGACTGGAAAAATTGACCCTTTCCAAAGCACAGACATGCGCTGCGCAGCCTGGCGTGTGTGCGTCGAGAGCTGGAATGCACAGCTGTCGTCCGTGGGCCTCGGCGGTGCCCATGATTTATTAGGGTCTGTCCAGCCAGCACATTACCCCTCCTGCCAACAGTTCTACACCTCCATTTCTGGATTGCTTGGGCTCTGGAAGTCTCAGCAGCTGACAAGGGGCCTCAGAATTTTCTGGGCACAAGAACAAAATGGCACAGACTGCAGTGTTCCCTGCTCCCTGCCTTGCTATGAATTCTGCAATCCTAGGCCAGCTTTTAAAGGAGAAAAAGAAATTAGGATTGCTGATTTGGCTCTTAAGGTCAGATGGATCAATATGCTAATTTCCCACACAATGGGAAGGGATTTGGTGAACCAGGGAAATTCGTATTTGATTAGAGCCTACGTGTGCCCAGCACTGCTAGAGGCTGTATATGTCTTATCTCTTAATCCCTAGTGAAATTGATAGAGCTGCTATTTAATAGTTAAGAAAACTGAGGCCAGAGAGGTCGAGTGACAAACCCGCAGCTTTATGGAACTGTCATTGGGATATTTAGACAGGCCCCCTGTAGTGAAGTCCCCAGCCCTGCCCATTCAGGAGCAGACCCACCTGCCCCGGCTGTCTAGGCATAGTCTTGTTTGTAAGTAGCCTTTCTCTCCACTACTCAGAATATCTGATTTTAACCCTGGGTTCCTGATTTGTGGGAGCCTTCTTTTTGCTCTCTGACCTCTACCTGCAGCCCAGAACAGATAATGACAACGATGACAGTAATAACAGTAGCTGACACATATGTAGCACTTACTGTGGGCCCACACAGTTCTGAGCACTTTTACAAATTGTTATTTGATGACTCCTCATACCAACTTCCTGAAAAAGGCACTATTATTATCCTCATTTTATAGATGAGGAAACGGAAGCACACACAAAAGTAAAAATACATTGCCTTTGCACACCCCTTTTAGTTTTTCAAATCACTTACATGTGCATTTTTCCATGTATTGACCACAACATATATTTCCATATTTTGCTCCTTGGAAAGTTGATTGGGCAAGTTATTTTCTCTTTATAACAACTAAAAGCTCATGTTCTAGTAGGGAGAGTGGATAATGTAAATAAATTATTCAAAGTACAATATGTTAAGTGTTCTAAATTAATGGAGTTATTTTATAGTCAGAAAGGAAGTAATACTTACAAGTACAGTATGGCATAAAGAGCTATGGGAACACCAAGGAAGTTACTAGAGGAAGCAGGTGATGTTTGAGTTGTGATTCAATGTGTTTCATCAGGCAGGTGACAGAGAGAGAGATTCCAGGTGGAGGGAACAGCATAAGCAAAGGCAAGGAAGGGCATACAGGTGCTTTCAGGGGTTTGCACAGTCTGCATGGGAATACCTGCTTTATAGATCATCCGTGACTTATTTTCACACTAGGTTATCTTCCCACCAGTTCAGCTAACTGGGCTCTTCTACCCAGTTTCCTGAGTCTGTGAGTCCCAACAACATGTGTTTCCTTCCTTCCCACCCCTCTCAGAGTGTGAGCCCATCGAGGCCATTGCCAAGTTTGACTACGTGGGCCGGACAGCCCGAGAGCTGTCCTTCAAGAAGGGGGCATCCCTGCTGCTCTACCAGCGGGCTTCCGACGACTGGTGGGAAGGCCGGCACAATGGCATCGACGGACTCATCCCCCATCAGTACATCGTGGTCCAAGACACGTACGTTAGGCCCCCTGCACCTTTAGGGGTCCCTGGCTGCACTGTGGGAGTGAGACTTTATTTCTGGAGCCCAGGAGGATGAGGGAGACCAACCCCTAGGGGGCGCCAACACAGTCCTGAAGTGTCGCGGTTCCTTTGAAGGGCCCCCAGACTCAGAGACTGAGTGGAGAATTGTTTTTTCATCTCTCCACTCTCTACTCCCCGACCAATCACATCTCTACCACCCTCCCCCACCCCCAGTCATTTTAGAAACTTGCCAGCCAGCGCTCATCCACATTTATACCTGATGAGTGATAATGAGGGGTTATTATTTGACCACTTATATTTCCTTTCTGGAAAGATCAGGTTGGGAAAATTTTGATTTCTCTTTTTTTTTTTTAAACAACCTGATGGCACTTTTCCACTTGCAAATGAAAATGTTGAGTTCATTTTCTAGTAGAAATCTAGCTTAAGCAGCCTTGTGGAAATAACCCAGTTCATTTAACCCAGATGAGGTTGACTTGGAGAAAGACAGGGGAGAGGAGGGGAAAGGATGTTGGGGAACAAAGGGAACATGGACTGGTTCCAGAGAGACTTCGTCACACGGGCTGTAGGTTGGTTCCTGCTCTTTGAAGCAATGTCTTTGCATCAGGAAGGCTTTTCCCCGTGGCCCCTCAAATCTGCCTCCCTGCCCCATTGCCCTGCCTCTGACCCCAGCTCCCTCCCCTTGGATACGATGCTGTCAGTGTTTTTAGTCCTTCCCTTAATATTATTTTTTAAAGGTTGATATCCTGAATGAGTCTGCACCCTCCCAGCCTCTCCCCAGCTCGTTCTGCGGGGAAATCCTCCCTCTGTTGATAACATCGCATACCTGGTGGCCATCTGTGCGTGGACCCTCCCAAATTTAGCATTATGACTTCACTCCAGGACCGAGAGAAGATGAATTGTGGGGGAGAAGGGGCTTTCTTTGTCATCAGTAGCCAGAGGGGCCGGGAGAGCCGTGGAGAGACCTGGGACCGGCTTGGACGCTCTAAGCGGGGCTAGATGCGCTACGACAGAGTGTGGCGGTGTCCTGCCTCAACGCCGGCATCTCCAGAGCCACGGCAGAGCTGACTGCCCTTGCCCAGCTGTGCTCGGGACATGAGCACATAAACGGCCACCTGGACCTCCTGCAGGAGGTGACCCCGGCACAGCTGCCCCGGGAAAGCAGCAAGGGGTAGAAGGCAGACACCTCGAATCCAGGAGTCCCCTAGCCCAGCTTTCGGAGGATCTGAGGACCCCACAGAACTCAGCAGGATTATTTATCTTTATTTAAATGACCCTCCAAAGGCCCGTAGCTTTCCTTGCCTCCGCTCCCAGAGCCCAGCCAGGCGTCGCTGCTGCCTCAGGACCATTGTGGGGTCGCGTGTGTGTCGGGGGGGCCATCTTGCCGATTTAACACTGCTTTTTGTGTTGTTGTTGTTTTCCCCTCCTCCCTGCCTGCCTGCCCCTTCTCCCCCAGCGAGGACGGTGTCGTGGAGAGGTCCAGCCCCAAGTCTGAGATTGAGGTCATTTCTGAGCCACCTGAAGAAAAGGTGACAGCCAGAGCGGGGGCCAGCTGTCCCAGTGGGGGTCATGTAGCCGATATTTATCTTGCAAACATCAACAAGTAAGCTCTGCTTTTCATTTTCTGCTCCCCTGAATGACTTGCGACACCCCGCCTCACCCTCTGGCCTAACCGCCCTCTCCATCCCTGTGCTGCATCCCCCCACTTCCGGCCCGACAGCTTGCATGTGCTCGTGGCTGCTCCAAGGTGGACAGGGCCAAGGAAACATCCGCAGGCCTCGTCAGCAGGCCCACGTCTCTGGCTAGCGGCTGTCACGCTAAGGACAGGTGTGCCCCTCTGTCCCTGCAGCGTCTGTCCGCTCAGACCTTCCTGGCCATCTGACTGCTGAAACTTTGGCCAAAGCTGTAGTCACTTCACGCAACTTGGTTTTGTACTGTTTCTCAGAGGTGCCGTCTCTTTTCCAATTCTGACTCAAATAATAATCTTTGATGTCTTCCTTGGCCCTTGTCTGTCCAAAGATCCAAAGTCTCATGCATCTTCTACCAGGTTCATGTCACCCTAGATGGTTTATTTAGATATCACATGTCTGTTTCTCCCTCATCCTGCATTCGCTCCCCTGGAGGAAAGGCGACCACTACCCCCACCAACCCCCACAAGGAAAGCTTTGTCCTGAGCTCTTTCTTCACTGTCTAACCCCCCAGCTCCCTTTTCTCTTGCCCTTTCACACCAGTAGAAATAATTTGCCATTTTTTTCCCTTATTGCTTTGGCCCTGTGTATTATCCTTCCCTGTTAGTCCCTTTGCAGATTCCCACTTCTGTCCAGCAGGCTCGTAACTGTGCCCCCCAGCTTTCACAGTGGCTGTTAGCAACATCCTGGGGTTTTAACTCCACACACACCCGATCTGGCCGCCTAGAGGGATTCCACGCCTGTGTGCTGCTGCCTCCCCTAGAGACATTCAGGTTATTGGAGAACTAATCTCATCTCAAGGGGCCAGACACCAAGCCCCAAAGCCTACAGACCTCTTTCCGCCAGACCCTGAACCTTGGCCCAGTGCCAGCAGGATGACAAGCCCCAGGGTGCTCCCGATGAATATGGATTGGAGATGATGTACAGTTTTTATTCCCCTCTGGCTTTGGAGGAATGAAATGATTTGCACATTGAAAACCTGTTAACCGTAGCCTCTGGACACTGAAACTGGAAGGAGAATAAAAGATGCTTGTTGTTTTTAAACTGCACCAGGTCGCCCAGATCTCTTGGCTTTTTTCCAACCAGACGGTAGCAGGGGGAGTGTTTGGGGCACATGGTTCTTTTCCATCTCTTTCACCCTCTACTTAGTAAAGTAGCTGATTTCAGCGCACTTGGTCAGTGTAGTTACAATTTCAGTCAGACCGGTAAGAAAGATCGAGGATTTAATTTATTTCCCTCCAGCATAGTGTGCCCTGTTGGGGGGGGCCAGCTAGTAAAAAGTTAACTGTGGGCTAATGACATTTTCTTCATTATTTACAAGTCTACGTTAATTATAAGCCTATAATCATAAGGTTGTAAGCCTGTAATTAACCCAGAAACCAAGGCGAGGTTGGTGGAGAGAGAGTTAGCTAATTAGTCGGGTACAGATTTTTAAGCCATATATTTGTTGCCATTTGTACAAAGGAATTGTAGAGAGTAATACCTTGAATACTCAAAAGATGAACATCTGGTAGAAAGTCAAGGCGGTTCCTGTGAACTCCTTGGTTGGTGGTATCAGGATGGGGTCTTGGAGGACGTGGTCTGCCCAGACACCAGCTGGTCCGTGGGTGAGCAGCCGCCCCCCGGGATGTCTTGCCCTTAGGACTGATCCGCCTTCGAGCCACACCTCCTGCCCCACACAGCTCTCTTCCCGAGCTCCTTCTCTCTCCTGAGTACCCTGGGTTCTCTTTCACCCCTGGACCTTCACATCTGCTGTCTTCTCACCTGGTCGACTCCTCTCCCTTCGAGACTCAGTCCAAAGATTTCTTTTTAGGGAAGCCTTTCTGACACCCCTGAATTCCTCAGGGCTGAGTTAGGTGCCCTTATTCTGTATTCCCGAGGCAATCTCAGGACACAAGCTGCACTTGGATATCCCACCAAGCTGAGCTCCTTGAAACCAGGAACTCTGTCTTCCTCCCTCTATATCCCTGGGGCCTGGCCCACACCAGCCACTCCATAAATCTGCCTCATTAGCAGTTTGGGCCTTGTAAGTCAGCCCTCCTCACAAGAAGGAAAAAGGAAATCAGTAAGGAGTTATTAGGGTGCGGCCTCTCAGTTCAATTCCACACATTTACTGAGCGCCTCCTATTGTGCCAGGTACGCCTGCCGCTTATTCAGGGAAGAATAAGATGATCCCTGGCCTCAGAGCTCACAGTCGGGCAAGGTGAATACCACAGAGACAAGTCACTAAAAAGTGGTTCCATACATGCACTGAAGGAACAGAAGGGCGAGTGATCAAGTCTGCCTGCCCATGGGGGAGGGAGGTCAGGAAAGAATTTGCAGAGGAGGAAAATTCATTTCAACTGGACCTTATAAGACTCTGCGAACATCCTTTATCCACTGGAGAGTGGCTGACCCCCAAGGCTAAAGCTGCTGAGCAGGCAGCCTCACGGAGTGGCTACTGTGTGCCAAATCCCGAACCGGGCCCCGTGCATGTATGATGAGGAAGACCTCCGCAGTGGCCCTGCCCTAAGGACCAGCTCCTTATCTTCAGGTCCTACCCCTTCCCTTCCTCCGTCCTCAACTCCCACCTCAGCCTCAGTGGCCCTTAGTAGATTCAAGTTCAGAGCTGCCCAGCTGCCATCCCAAACCAGAAGTGTCATTTGCCTCTTAGATTAGGTCCTATAGTATCTGATTCCAAGAGATAATGAAATTATTCAGCAGTGGGCAACACCCGTATGAATAAGATTCTGCCAGACCATTTCATCTGAGAGCTTTAGTGGTCGGAAACAGATCGACTCAGAGCCAGGGTTCAGCCCAGTGCTGGGTGACTTAGGGTCACGTAGATGTATTTCCACCCTAGAAAATGCACAAACGTGACCCGAACTCTGCAACATTGCAGCCTCTTGAAAAATATTCTGTTCCATGTCTGCAGAATAAGCAACAACAGCCTCTTGCCAAAGCCCAAAATAATTAGTCTTGTCAGTGGACTAAGAAACATGCTAAAATTCAGAAAAGTCAACTCTCCTCTTACCAGCAATTCCCTACCTCCTTGGTGATGGTGAGACTTTTTCTCCTACCTGGGGTCTAGGGCCTGCTTTCTGTGCAGAGCAGGTAACGGAGGGTACCTTTTCATGAATCTGTCTCCCATTAGAAACTTTCGCTTAATCAGACATTTTTCCTGACAGCACCTTACATCTTGAGAACTCAAAGCCCACGACCACCAAGTAAGTATCTATCTCTCCTTTGCCCAGGTCGGGGGTGGCAGGGAGACAAAGACATGGAGAAAGCAAGGGAAGGTGACACAGGAGAGGACACGCTCTGTGTTCTCTCCTTCCAGAAGTCCCTGGGTACCAACATCTGCCCCTCTCTCACTCATCCTAGCTTCCTCGGAGCCAGGGCTCCCTGATCAAACCGCCCTTTCTGTTTGTCATTGAAGGCAAAGGAAGCGGCCAGAATCTGGGAGCATCCGGAAAACATTTCGGAGCGACGGCCATGGGCTGAGCAGTTCCCTGACTGATTCCGCCTCCCCGGGGGTGGGGGCAAGCTGCCGCCCATCTTCCCAGCCCATCCTGAGCCAGAGTCTCCCCAAGGAAGGGCCAGATAAGTGTTCCATCAGTGGGCATGGGAGTCTCAACTCCATCAGCCGTCACTCATCCCTGAAGAATCGGCTGGACAGTCCACAGATCCGGAAGACGGTGACAGCAGGCAGGTCAAAAAGCTTCAATAACCACCGGCCCATGGACCCTGAGGTCATTGCACAGGTAACTGGGGGCTCTTGGACAAATAGCTACCACAAGTCTACACTTGTCACTGCTGCTTAGTGCAGCCCATGCTCATTATGACGGCACTTGAAAGAGAACGGTGCTTTGTACATTATACACTGAGTTCAGGGAATGTTAGACATCTAGACCCGATAAGATGGCTTTCCAAGAAATTTGTCTATCCCTCTCTCCCCAAAAAGAACTTGAAGACAAAATAAAAGAAGGCAGGCTTCTTGCTCATATATGGGCTATTTGCAAGCCTGGTGTAATTTTTAAAGCCAGTAGTTACAGATTGTTTCTGATAGAATCCATTCAGCCCAATTTTGAGTCTTGAGACCCTGGTAGATTTCAGTGAAGCTGCCCGAGTGGTGAGGCTCAGAGGTAGTTCTGGCCACATTTTCATATCAATGTGCCATCCCCATCATCCCTGAGGCTAATCTCTGGTCCCTAGTGATAGATCAATGATCAATCAACAATCTGTTCCTGGTTGTGAAGGCCCCAAATTACTCTGCCACTGCGCGCACTCCGGTACCAGAAAGGTTTCCAGCCCAAGCCTCCAGAGGCAGTGGAGATGAGCTCCCTTGCTTGCTACAGGGTCTTCCTTCCATGTATGCATCACACTGACGAGTCTCTGTTTTCCATGAAATATTAGAGATCCAACCCCACCTCTAAAAATACGACTCTCGGGGCCACTCCAAGCAGTTCACTCAGACGTCTCTCCCAACTCTGTAATTTTCATTAGACCAGGTAGGAACTAAAGGCTCATCGTTGCCCTTTTATGTCTCAACTGAGTTGAGATTCTCCTCACCCCAACTTGCAGGGTAGAGGCTGGGTGTGGCCTCTGTTGGCTTAATCACAGTGCTCTGCTTAGGGATGGTGTACCTGGCAAGCACAGTATTAAGCTACAGGCCTGAGATGTCTTGCTTTGCTAGCCTTCTGTTTCTGTGCCTCTCCTTAAGCTCTTGGCTGCAATCTGCCTTGCACCACGGGAATCCTCCCAGCTCCCTCTTTGGCCAGGTGTTAGGAACGTCGGAATAGCTACATAACTGGGACAGACTCTAGCTGCAGAGCGGGACTGAGGAGGGAGATGGAGTTCTTTCTGCACAATTTTAAGGTTTGAGAACAACAGAGGGATGAGTGAAATTGAACCACTCTCAGCAGAAAGCACGGATTACCCTGTAGGGCAAAGAAGCCTTAACCAGGGGCCTTTGCTTGAAACATGCAGTCTTTCCATGTGAGTTTAATCCCAAGGGAGAAGCCCTGCGGTGGTTTGGGGGTGCTAGACACAGTGTGTGGAGAGGTGGGGAGGGATCTGGGAGGTCTCCCTGGGAGGCAGCTGGCTGCATACAAAGGGTCTTTAGTTCTACCTTGAGCCCCTGAGCTAGGCCTGCTGTTTCCTAAGATCTGGAGTATTCCACTGTGAAACTCAATGGAGATTCACCTATGTGGACTCTGGCTCCCTTCCTGGTCACTCCTTGGTCCCCTCTTATGGTGATGGGTGGAAGGAAATGGCTTCATCAAGATGAGCACTCTGGATGGGGTGGAGCTGGGGCAGGGGTGGGGGGGTGTCCTGATGGATCCTCAGGGCCAGGGCTCTTGAACCTTCCCTCAGTCCTTGAGGATGAAGGACTAACCCTCTTAACCTTTGGCCTTTAAAGTCCAAGATAGCAAAGATCATACTTCATCTGTACCACTTTTTAAAAAAAATTGTTTATTATGTACAGTTTCAAACAGATGTAGAATATGAATCCCATGTACTCATGACCAAACTCCTGGCCACCCTTAGTTCATCCACCTTTCCTGATCCTGCTAGATTACATGTCATCTCATCCATAGATACATCCGTGCATGTGTCTAAAACCTGAGGGCTCTATTTAAAAAGCATCTCAACCACTCTGTCTAAAGGGTAAAAAAAAAAACCCTCATGAGAACGAAAGTCCTTTTGCCCCCCTTCCCTCCCATTCTGAACATCCAGATGTTCAAAGATTTTGGCCAAATAAAATCATCTGGACATCTCCTTACAGTTGGTTTCTCCATGATTTGGCCCAGGTTGTTGAAATAGGACCCTGGGGGCTTCTCCCTACGTGAGCCTCACTCTCTCCTTTCTCCTGTCCGCAGGATATTGAGGCGACCATGAACTCTGCCCTGAACGAGCTGCGGGAGCTAGAACGGCAGAGCAGCGTCAAGCACACCCCGGACGTGGTTCTGGACACCTTGGAGCCCCTCAAGACCTCCCCTGTGGTGGCCCCCACATCGGAGCCCTCCAGCCCCCTGCACACTCAGCTCCTCAAGGACCCTGAGCCCACCTTCCAGCGTAGCGCCAGCACTGCTGGGGACATCGCCTGCGCCTTCCGGCCTGTCAAGTCTGTCAAGATGGCGGCCCCAGTCAAGCCGCCAGCCACACGGCCCAAGCCCACTGTCTTCCCCAAAACAAATGCCACTAGCCCCGGTGTCAACTCCTCTGCCTCCCCACAGTCCACTGACAAGTCTTGTACTGTCTGAGGGATGTAATTTAATTGTTCTAGACAAGGGGACTGGAGGGACTGACTGTTATTAAAATCTTCCTATTTAACTAGCTTGGGGACTTCAGTTGAAAATTAGGTTCTAAGTTGTTCTTGCAGGAATTAGCCTCCCCATCACAGAAAACCTTGAGAATGAAGCCCTCGTTATCGCCCAGCCCTCCCCCACCCTTCCCGCTACCTTCTGCTTCCCCCAGTTGTCGTAATCCAGCCAGCTACAGTACATACTGTTCTTAGGTTAGCCAGAGATAGGTTTTTCCATTATCAGGTCACTGTGAAATCTGGCAAGGCAAGTCACAGGGCCATGGGCTGAAGTCTCAGTCCCCTCAGACACAGGGGATGCCTAACCAGATGGCTGGCTGCTGACGGCCAGCTCTCAGTGGCATCTTGTTTTGGGTACTGATTATAGAGAATCATATACAGTTCCTTCTCTGTTTTACACACACACACACACACACACACACACACACACACACAAAGTTTTTCTAGTCTCTGGCATGTGTAGCCTCTCCTGGTCCTCGATAGACTGGTCTCTTTGTAAGCTATTGTGGCAGTTCACACAGGAGCCACCAGGGGTCTCTGTTTCCGTTACAAATCTCAACTCTGGGCCAGAGAACCTAGCCTTTGACTCTCTCCACCGTGTGAAATTTAGCAGGATGGGACTCAATCCTGTGAACTGTTTGGGGTTGGGGGCTTTCTCTCTGTCTTCTTTCTATTGGTGTGAATTGATCATTGGTGTTTGCTTTTGCTCTCCTCCATTCTCTGGAACTACAACCCAATCTTCTTACAGAACTTCTAAAGTTTTTCTGAATGTATAGACATTTCTCGGGTTCCTATCTTTGTCTCTGATGTACCGTTTTCCATTTAAGACATTTTCCTGTATAAGACAGTTTTATAGTTGGTTGCTTTTAGGGTAAAGAGGCTTAAGACAGTTTTATTGTGTTTTTGGCAGGTTTGGAAAAGGTAAGAAATGGGTCCTTCCTCCTACTTTTCTGGGTACTTAAGACATAAAATTCATAATCCTATTAAAAATTAAATGCAGCTTTGCTAATCCTAAAATTGTTCCCAAATGAAAATGTATTCTGAGTTTATCCCCTAGTTGGGCTATTCCACAAGGCCTCTCTTCAGGGACCAGTGGGGGCTTAGGGAGCCCTAGTTAGATTAAAGAGAGACATTGCTCCTTAAAACTGGTCTTCAGGGGCTTCCCTGGTGGCGCAGTGGTTGGGAGTCCGCCTGTCGATGCAGGGGACACGGGTTCGTGCCCCGGTCCAGGGGGTCCCACATGCCGCGGAGTGGCTGGGCCCGTGAGCCATGGCCGCTGAACCTGCGCGGCTGGAGCCTATGCTCCGCAACGGGAGAGGCCACAACAGTGAGAGGACCGTGTACCGCAAAAAACAAACAAACAAACAAAAAAAAAACTGGTCTTCATTTATCCAGACAAGCACAACTAAGAGAACTCTTCGCCCCGTGGGCTTTAAAGTCTTTCCAAGGCCCGAATCTAAGAAAGTCAAAAATTGGATGCTGAATATTTTGGCCTTCCTTCGGCTATTTTTCTGGTTCACCTCCAAAAAGCAAAAATAATACCCTTGTCTGTTTTAATTTGCTTTCCAAATCTGGTGCCCGTGGTCCCAGCTCCCCTAACATCATGCTGTCGCAGGAGGACCAGGGCTGGGGACAGTCAAACCCCAGGCTCATGGGTCTCAGACAACTACTTGAGTTAAAGTTGAAACTCATTCCTCTTCTCTGTTTTCTGGTTTTAAAGCTGTGCTTTTTGCCTTATTTTCCACAGTTTAGGAGAGATAGCGGGTTGCCATTCAGATAGGAAAATCTGAATTTTCTTATCTTTGGCCCAGAAAATGCTCTTCAGACCAACATTTTGAAGTTGGTAGTTGGCTCTATGGAAAGTGGTAGGATTTTCCTCCTTTTGCGTGAAGGAAAAGAGAAGCTTTGTAGGAAGTTGCTAGTTAGAAAAGTAGCCTGCAACACCAGGAAAACCATCCCAAGAGCCAGGAGGGAGAGATGAAGAACTCCTTCAGTGCGTGTGTCAACCTGTGAGAGGCAACCCACAGTCCTCCGCATTCTTGGCTTTTGTTGATCTGTTTAGTGGCCTGTCCTTGTCTGTCACCTGGACTTACACAGGTCCTGAGCCAATAGGGGCCTTTCATACCCAAGGATCTGTTTCCTTGCTGGAAATGAAACCCTACCCTTCACTTGACATTCCTTTTGATCCAACTGGTCAAAATTGGTGCCCATACCTGCCCTTTTCCTCTTTTTCCGGCACATCCTTCTCTAAGAAAGGAAAGGCAAAGCTCCTTAATGACAACACCTTGGGCCTGTTCTGTTGCTCCTGCCTTGTTTCTCTTTCAGCCCTGTACATGACTTGCATTCACCATCCCCTCGGTCAGTGTCCATCTGCTGATTTGCATCATGAACTGGACAGTGTGTGAGAGGTCACCTGCTACCCCCGCTCTGGGAGCCGAGCTGTCTTCCCCCCTCTGGTGCTCCTGACACCTGTGAGATGGTCCTGTCCAGAGGACTAGGAACCCTAGAAGGAGAGTCCTTCTCGGCAGAGCTCATTGCAATCAACTGGAATCGAGGTTGCACACTGTGATTTTTACACCGAAAAGCCAAACGGAGCTGGCCACCCAGGGCCTAGGGAGACCAGTCTTCCTCGGATATGCTTCCTAAACCAGCATGATGCTTCGAAGAACCCCAGTCGGCCCCTGGAGGCATGGATCCTTTTCCCGGTGTGGACTCTGATGGTCAGTCTTTGGGAAGCAGAGGTGGGGCGGGGCTACCAGCATCCCAATTTGGAAAAGAGAGGAGTTTGCAGCCAGCAGCCTGTAAACTGGAAACACTGGTCTCAGCCAACCTCCTCAGGGTGCCCTGGTTTCTCCCCAAAGAGATGAGAGATGATGCCAGCAACAGGATGAACAGACCACTGGAAGGGCTGGTGTATATGTACTTCACGTTCAGAAGAGGAGTTAGATCTTCCAGGGAATTGCAATTTTGTGGCGTCTGACTTGTATGTCACATTTGTGTAAAATGGTATATTCTTTAAAATAGTGTTGATAACTGGAATATTGTATGTATGCTTGGAGATGCTTTGTGTGAACCTAAGACTGTCACTCAACAGATGTTGGATTGGGGAAAATCCAAAGCACAACTTCGAAATAAAATACGTTTTTAGGTTTCGATGCTGCAGTTTATATCCTTTCTCCACTCCCTGAAATCTCCAATCCAGGAGTCCCGCTGCCCAGGAGGGCTTTTGATTCGTCTGTGGTTACGGAGCCCTGCCTGGCAACAGAAGGAGAGTTGGGGTGACCTCAGGAGCCAACCATCTTCTCCCTCCCCCAGCAAGACAACAGCAGAGGTGCATTTAGAATGTGGATTTCCCCCCCACCCCCAGCATTTTCATTTAGCCCATGTGTGGAACCTAAGGGATTGTGTAGCAAGTCTTCCCGCTCACCATTGGGCAGTCTGTTGCCATGAGAACCACTTCCTCCACAGAATCCACCTCCCCTGTTTTCAGTGAGGACTGTTCTCATTTCTGTCACTAGTCAGATTTCCCCATTTGCAGGAACGGAGCCTGTGCAGTTGCTTGGAAGCTTTGTCAGCCACAGCTGAGGGTGACTGAAGGTTTTATTTCCTCCACAACCAAAGCCCTGGGTCATTCTGCCCTTGGCAGCCCCCTGCCTCTGGAAGAAGAGCTTACCCATGTGTTTGTGCTGTGGGTGTTGAGTACGGGGGTGGGGTGGGAGCATACCGAGAATGCTTTCTCTCCCTTAGATTTTGATTCTAGCAGATCATATATTCGAGGGTGAAGTTATTCAAAGGTGATCGTTTGAAATGCATCCTGGAGCCCCTAGGGCCCACACTTAGTTTCGTGGGCTTATTCTAATACCAGAGGCCCCTGGGGTGGATCAAATCTCTCATACCCAATGTTCAATGGTAATACAAGGAATCCTACCCCAGACACGTTACATCCTCTCCTTAGGTTTGCCATTGCCATCTGTTATTTGTATATTTTTTATTCGACTTTATCACGCCCTTCTAATGTGTCATCTTTTCTCCCTCCCTCACTTTATGGTAGAGCTCCAGCTTGATCTTCTCTTGCTGGTCCCTTGGTCTTAGCTAAGTCAAAGCTGAGGCTGTTCTGCCGCCCTGTGCTGTGGAATGTAGGTGACGAGCTGTGAGATGGAGCTAGTGCTTAAGCTGTGAACAGAGGACCCAAAATCCTTTTCAGAGAGTCCTAAGGCAAAGGCGGGCTATCCTTTCGGGGTACTCTTAACTCATCTCATATATTCTGATGGGAGCTTGACGGAAACCAGTGACAGTCAAAACAGACCCATTCAATCCAGATAGAAACCAAAAAAGGAGACCAGGTGGGTCTGAATTTAGGAGACGGTCTTTATGATGATCTAACCTAAATGTTTATATCCATAGGCATATGAAGCTTCCTTTTACTCAGGAGTTAGAAACCCTGGCATATTACGTATGCCAAAGACTCATTCGTTAGTCAGTTAAGCCTGACCGTGTGCCAAGCACTGTCATATAGTATTGAACAGAGGAACAGATAATGGAGCTTTCTGGTTTCAGGGAGAACAGATAAATAAGCAAAATAGTGTTACTCTAAAAATGAAACGATATAATAAGGTAGTGAATGCCTGGGGGAAAAAGTACAGTTAGTCAAGAATTCTGCTTGGCCTGGTAACGTTGAGATGACTATTAGACATCCAAGTGGACTCTTGGATATATGAATATGGAGTTTTAGGCACAGATCATACCTGAAAACAAATTTAGGAGCTATTGCATTATAGATGTATTCAAACTATGAGATCCCCAGGAAGAATATACAAATGGCAAAAAAGAGAAGGTTCCAATAATTAGAAATCCAGTGGATAAGAAGCCAGCAAAGAGGGCAGACGGAGCGAGTGACAGAGGTGGGTGTCTGAGAGAGTCACAGAAACCCGGAGAAGGAAATGTTTCAACAAGGAGGATCGGCTGGCAAATGTCCGTGGGGTAAGATGAGACCAGTGAAGAAAGGTCACCCTTGTCAATAGCACTTGCCGCACAGGGGAAATGAGCTGACTGGAGTGAGTTGGGCAGCACGTGGGAAGGGGGAGTCAAACTCCTGGCAGCTCATTCAAAGGCTTTGCTTTGAATGGGGAGCATCAAAAGGGGTCAAGGGCCCAGGTTTCTCTTTTTACAGTGGACAATATTGAGGCGTGTTTTCTCAAGGGCAGGACCCAGTAGAATGAGGGTGAGATCACAGAGCACAGATGCAAGGGCCAGCAAGGGCTAGAGAGGAGGCGCTTCCTCACTTCCTCCATCTCAGGGGAGGGAAGGCAGGCAGTGGATGTGGGGCGAGAAGATGAGGGAGTTCCTTCTTGATCGCTTCTTTTACTTCAGCGGAATTAATTGCAAATCCTTTAGCTGAGAGCGTGGGAGGGAATGGTGAGTAGGAGGTTTGAAGGGTTAAGAGAATGAGTGAAATACTCACTTTCCCGTACCAAGAAAGACAGTACACAGTGGCCTGGTGCTGCACCCACTGCATCTCTTCCCGCTGCCTGGGGGTGGTGCCAGGTCTGGCTGCAGCGTTTGTCTCTCCTTCCCAAAGCTCCTGGCCAGAGCTGACCTGTGAAGGGGGAAAGGAGCAGGGCTCCAAGACCTCATCACTCAGCCCTTCAAAAATGCCTGGGCATGCTGAGTACACACTGCCCACCTCTTCCACACACCCACCGGCCCTTGTCCTTCTTTCGCCTCTTCTTTAAGGCACTGGACAGGTGAGGCAGCTGTGACAAACAGGCTCAAGCCGCGTAGGGGCAGAAAAGGCACCTAGTATTTATTCAGGACCTACTGGGTAGCAGGCACTGCATCTCATTTTGGTTTTGCACCAAGTCAATGAGAAAGGTTGAGTGACTTTCTCAAGTCAAGACTCAGACCTCTGACTGTAAAGCCCTGCCCTTCCTATGACACCACTTGGCCTCCCTCTGGAGAAGGCAGATGTGAGCTTTCTCCCTGAGAGCTGCCATCAAAGACCGCCCCCCATCCCGCCCCGTGCCTCTGGTCCTAGCGCTACCTCTGAATTGTCACTTCTATTTCTATGAGTCCTCAGAGCCACTCAGGAAAAGGCGGTGAGGCCTCTTATAGGCGTCCTCTTCCCCTCAGGAGCCTGCCAGGCTCCTGTACCTCCTCAGATGAAACAACAGACATGCTGCCCAGCTTGGGCCAGCAGCTCAAAACCACAGGCAAGACATTCATTCCTTTTGTCCACACAGAGGATGTGACCTCACAGAGGATGCCCAGCGAAACTTGGTCTGTCACCACACAGCAGCTCACTGCCCACCTTGTACTTCTGAGCCTGTGCATGTGTTCCCACGACCCGGGATGTCATACCTCCGACCCCCTCTTCTCTGCCCAACTCCCCTCCCTCCAAAGTCTGGTTGAGTATCTTTTCTTCTTGCAAGCCCTTCTTGGTCATCAGCTGCCCCTCCCCGCTGCAGTCCCCCTCTACCGGGCTCACAGAATCACTTCCTGCTGAAGTATATATCTCATAGCATTCACCATGCTGCCCTGAACCCCGGCTCCTGGCGGAGGGGGTGACTAGGTCTCCCCTTTGTGTCCTCGGCACACAGTGCCTGCTTCCTAGTAGATGCTGGACACACAGTCATTGCACTTCAGGGTGCTGAGGACGCTTGGAAAGAGAGCGGGCTTGATGCAGAGAGAGCAGAGTAGGAATGCTGGTGAGGACCAGGTAGGTTTGTTGCGGGGGAAAACAAGTAGAGCTTTAGCCATAGGCTGGGTTAATGTTGCACATCCCACTGGCTTAAAACCACAAAGGTTGGGGGCTTCCCTGGTGGTGCAGTGGTTGAGAGTCTGCCTGCCGATGCAGGGGACGCGGGTTCGTGCCCCGGTCCGGGAGGATCCCACATGCTGCGGAGCAGCTGGGCCCGTGAGCCATGGCCGCTGGGCCTGAGCGTCTGGAGCCTGTGCTCCGCAGCGGGAGAGGCCACAACAGTGAGAGGCCCGCATACCGCAAAAAATATAAAGGTTGATTTCTCACCAAAGCTACATGTCCCTTGTGGGCCAGCAGGGGGGCTCTGCTCTGTGGTCACTCAGGGACCCAGACTGAGAGGGCAGTCACCACATCTAACAGAATCACACTGTCACAGGGGCTGGGGGGGGAGCAGCGTGTCTTGCCTTAGCAATTAAATGCTTTTGGTTAAGAAATCACATGGCCCCGCCTAATCAGAGGGTGTCAAGAAAATGGAATTCTACTGTATGCAGGGGGAAAACTGGGAATCCTGGGTGAAGAACAGGAGGTCTAAGGGACGTTTCTCCTAGTCCTGCTGTCAGACACGGCAGGACAGCATCTCTGGGTCGCACCCAGCAGCCCTGGCTGCTTGCAAGGAGGGGGGTGGGCATCAGTAAGTGTATCTATGTGAGCACAAGGCAGTTCTCAACTGGGCTCCCCGTTCTGGTGTCACTGTACTAGGGGTGGTGCTGCCAGAGGAAACCACCAGGTGTGGCCATGGGGAAGTCCCTCCAGCTTTCTATTGAAACATGGAATTTCCTGGCTTTAACCATTTCTTATCCAACTGCCATCTTGGAGCTGACCAGAGCCAGGCAGACCTCTTCAGCCTCCTAGGGAACTTGGTTTGGGGCAGTGAGTCCTGAATGGGCAGTTGGCACACCTGCGTTCCAGCCCCAGCAATCTCTGAAGATCACAGGCAAATTACCGAAGGTGTATGAGCCTCAATGCCTTCTGTAAAGCACTTTCCAGTTGCCCATGCATTTCCAAATATACGGTCCCATGTCACTCACACAACCAATGGTGGCATGTTACCATTCTCATGCCTTGGGTGAGAAGACTGTCTGGCAGGGGTCGCATACTGTGCTCAAGGTCGCACTGGAGGGCAGTGCTTGCTCTTGGACCTCTGCAGGCTCGCTGGGAAGATGAGTCAGATCCAACTTCTGGAAGTGGCTGGTCATAGGTCCTGGACCTCCCTGGGACCCCTGGGTGCGGGAAGTGCATTTTCCCAGGCAGCTGTCCACTTGGTTAACTGGCCCAATCTGCTCTGTAGGGGCTGAGTCTGAACTTCCCTGCTCCAGTGAACCACGGCAGGTACAGAAATAGCATCCAGCGGCCCACCACAGCCACTCAGCCTCAGTGCCCGGCCTCTCTGTGGCTCAGGCTCTGGTCCTGTTGCCTCCACTTGGGAACTCAGAGCATCCTCTTTCTCCTTCCCGCCGGGGGGTAGAGGCGGCAGCCCAGCTGCCTCTGTCTCTTTAAGAGAGAGAAAGAACGAAATCAGGAAGTGAGAGAACTGAGAGCCGGCAGGGAGCTAAGCTGAGTGTTGGCCTCTGCTCCCAGTTCTCCCAGCTCCCAGGGTGGCACGCGGCCACTTCAACTGGCCCATCTTCAGGTTCCCAGGGCCCGTGGCCACCGGGATGCTATGGGCGCTGCCCATGAATGACAACAAGCCCTGAAAGCTCTGGGGGCGTCACGCATTCCCACAAGCCTGCATGCCCCACAGCCGAGATGGGGTGAGTCCATGGGAGGGAGGGCGTTGAATGGGGAAGCCGGGGTGGGCGGGGGTGGGGGGGCCAGGCAGCTGCAAGACAGCACTTAGCAGAGTGCCGGGGTGCTGGCCTGTCAGCAGCTGCTCTCCAGGCCGGCCCAGGTCCCCTCCCTGTATCTCTCTGCGGCTGCGGCTCCTCCCTACGCCCCCAGAGGTGCCCTGTGCTCCATCTCAGGTGGGCACCCTTGCCAAGGACTGTTTGGAGGCCCATGAGAGGCAAGGAAGGAGTGGCGTAGAGGAGAGCTGCAGTCCACCTACGATGCTCCCTTCCGCGTCTCTGCTTCCCAACACCTGAAGCCAGCCTTCTGCTCTGCCTCTGTACTGTTCTTCTGCCTGGCTTCTGGTGCCTCTGCCCTCAACTCTCCTGGGGTCCTTCTCACTGGCCCAGGTCCTGGGGGTGGGAGTGGCGAGGAGAGTCTCCTGGAGCTGGGGAATTGGGCTGGAAACCCCCAGCTCTGTGGGGGAGGGTGACAAACAGGAAAGGGTTAAAGGGCTGGGGCCCGGGGGGCCTTTGACGGAGGCTGAGAATCAAACGGCGCCCAGGGGTGCCTCTCATCCGCCTTCCTCTTTCCGGTGTAGCTCAGCTCCTGGACTTGCCACAGACAGAAAGCATAACACACACTTGCTGGGGAGAGTCTTTGCCTGATCGAGGGCTGCTCAGAGCACAGGGTAAGTGCTTTTAGGCACTGCAGAGCCTGGAGGAGGAGGAAGGTGGGTGGGGCGACGGGCTCCTGGCTCCCATCCATCCAACCGCTGCTGTAGGATAGTGAGCCCTTCTGTGCACCAGCTGCTGGGCTGGGAGGCACAGAGCACGCAGACGCGACCAGATGTGCTGCCCATCAGCTCCTAAGCATAGCCCTGGCAGGGCCAGGAGCAGAGCCCAGGGCATGCCAGTCTGTCTAGGCTCTGCCCTCTCTGCCACACTGCCCATTCCTTAGAACCTTCGGCTGTGCTCTGCCCCAGCACCAGCCCTGGCGAGGATTTTGAAGGTGGTGAAATCTCCCCTGGCTTGGCCCTTGGCCTTGATTTCAGGATGCTCTACCTGGTTTCACAGACCCAGGCCTGTGGGCTGATTCCTCCTCAGCCTCTGAGGGGAAAATCTCACCAACTCATTCCGGCTAAGCTATTACATTGTCTTCAGAAAGACTCTCAGCCCCTCAGCTGCTTCTATAAAATGCAAACACTGATACATCTTCTGAAACTGGAATTGACCTCTGATCTCTCCACGTGGCCTCTGGCTCAAAGAATTGACCTCCTCAGGATTTCCATTTAAAAAAAACAAACAAAAACAGATTACAGAGAGAAGGCTCAAAGCTAAGGAACAGTGAGATTCCAGGCATGGTGACCCTAGGATTGACAACCTTTAAGGTGATAGAAGAGGAAGCAGCCCTGTCTAGTTCAGCCTTATTTGAGAGTATTTAAGGGGTGGTGGCCCTTCTTATGTTCCTCCCAGCCATCCCATAAAGACCAGCCATGGCCCTATTCTTCAGAGAAGCACCGAATGTAACTTCTGAGGCTACACTCTCTGCAGCCGACTGCTTTAGAGGAACTGGCCTTTGGAGAAGAGAGGATGAGGGCAAAGATGGGAAACAGAATTGTAGAGCGGTTTCAGATCCTTCCGCAGGCTCCTGAGCTTTTCGATTTGATGGCCTCCTGCCTCTCCCACCCCCTCCACACACACACACACACACACACACACACACACACACACTCATAAGCACGCACATACATGCTCACTCACACACACTCACACTCACGCACACGCTCTCTCCACAGCAGCGCTTTCTTCTCCTGAGCAGCTCTGACCTGGCCATGTTAGCTGACAGCAGCAGGAAGTGGTGGGCCCAGGAGAGCAGTGGGGAGGGGCTCCAGGCTCGTGTTGCAATCCTGGAGATTTGTGGTGATGTGGTTGACACTGTCTGACCCGGGGCTCTTGCTTCAAGCACTATTTCTGCTTCCTGGGACAATCCCAGGCCTGGATGCCAAAACCCCCAGAACTCGCAGTGCCTGGGAGAAGTGACAGAGAAAAGGGTTTGTCTCCGCAGAACGACCTGTCTGGGGAGGGCGTTGACAGGGACCTGGGGAGTCGGGACAGGTAGAATGCCCTGCAGTGGGACAGGCCCCAGCTGTGGTCTGAGGGCCCAGTGGCTGTGCTTCTTTTTGGAGAAGTTACTTAACCTTTCTGTGCTTCACACTTCCCCTGCCCCCTTGCCTCTGGAATGGCCACATGGAGCCCTTCATGGGGTGGTCTTTGGCAGAGCTACTTGTCAGGCCACCAGTGTCCACCCCAGGTCAGGGGTGGAATCCTAGACCCCAGTATGTTCTTTTTCTGAGCAGAAGGTGGCCGGCCAGCTGGGAGCAAGAGATGCAGAGCACCGTCAATTACCTGTGGCACACGGATGACCTGCTGGGTCAGGGGGCCACTGCCAGTGTGTACAAGGCCCGAAATAAGGTAGGATGCAGCCCAGCCCACCCCAGCCCCCTCGCAGCCAGGAAGTCGGCCCCCAGTGGGCATGAAGGGTGGTGTGAGATGGCTGGGCAGGGTTCTCTGACTTTGTTCTGCACCCTCTGAAGTGGAGCAGAGGTGTGGGGATCTGAAGAGGGCTCCTTGGGATGAAGCTTCTGTCAGGCACGGTTGGGGGCTGGAGAGAAAGGGATGAAGACACAAGCCAACATCCAAGGGAGGTGGCAGCAAATCTAGGAATAGCAGAGGTGGGAAGTGGGACTCGTTTGGATTTATCCTGCCTTTATTCTGATGGAGAGCTGTACTGAATATGAGACACACTGCACTATCTTGTACTTAAGAGCTGAAGCCAGACAGAACGTTGCTGCTAAGGCCAAGGAGTATTAGCTGCCACCGTAGTTACTGTCAATGGCAACAGTAGCAGTAACAACAAACCATCCCCTGCAGGGTACCAGGTGTGCCAAGCTCCTGTCATCTCCCAGTGCTGCGGGACGGGCTGTGTACCCTCTGAGGAGGGGAAGGAGCTGAGGGTGGGAGCCCCCAGCCCCAACCAGGCTGCCTTCACCCCAGGGATGACCTGGGGTTAGGCTGGCGGGAGAGGCTGGATGGAGGCCTGGGAGGGGGTGCGCTCCCAGGGCAGGGGTGCTATTTATGTTATCCCCCATGGCAGAAATCCGGGGAGCTGGTTGCTGTGAAGGTCTTCAACACGGCCAGCTACCTGCGACCCCGCGAGGTGCAGGTGAGGGAGTTTGAGGTCCTGCGGAAGCTGAACCATCAGAACATCATCAAGCTCTTTGCGGTGGAGGAGATGGTGGGTCCAGTGCTTGGTCAGAGGAAGACGGTCTTGTCCTCGACTCTGACAGGCTGGGAAGGGTCAGGTCACATAATAATAGAGACTTGGGCACATGCTCATCTGCAGGTCGGCCAGAAGGTTGGCCAGAGAGGGGTTAAGGGTGCCAGGGGCCTGGGGGCAAAGTAAGGATGGGGAGTGAGGCCTAATCAAAGAAGGCTTCCTGGGCTTCCCTGGTGGCGCAGTGCTTGAGAGTCCGCCTGCCGATGCAGGAGACGCGGGTTCGTGCCCCGTTTCGGGAAGATCCCACATGCCGCGGAGCGGCTGGGCCCGTGAGCCATGGCCACTGAGCCTGCGCGTCCGGAGCCTGTGCTCCACAAATGGGAGAGGCCACAACAGTGAGAGGCCCGCATAACGCAAGAAAAAAAAAAAAAAAAAAAAAAAAGAAGGCTTCCTGAAAAAGGTGACCTTGGGCTCAGTTTGAGGCCAAAGGAAGGAAGGCCAGCTAGAAGCGGAGACCTAGAGAATGGGGGCTTTGGGCTCTAGGGTGAGCCACCCCGTCTTGAGGAAGGGGAGTAGAAGCGCCCTCCTCCCCAAGCCTCCCTCTGTCCCCTACAGGGGGGCAGCCGGCAGAAGGTGCTGGTGATGGAGTACTGCTCCAGCGGGAGCCTGCTGAGCGTGCTGGAGAGCCCTGAGAACGCCTTTGGGCTGCCCGAGGACGAGTTCCTGGTGGTGCTGCGCTGTGTGGGTAAGCACCTCCCTGACTCCCACCGGGGACCCCCCTCCCCACCTCAGGCCAGCCACAGACCCAGCCCTCAGCAGCAGGTGAAGTCCCAGAGGGGTGTGGCATTTCTGGAACAAATATCCAAACACAGTAGAACACTGGAAGCTAAGAGGCTCCCCATTCACAGACCTGGCACAGATGCTAATGAGCAGACAGAACCCAAGAGTCTGATTCCTGCTAATCAGCAGTTTAAAACTCCAATTTCAGAATAAAATTTAAAATAGGTTGTACACCAATGTCCATAACAGCATTATTCACAATAGCCATGAGGCAAAAACAACCCAAATGTCACAGACAGCTGAGTGGATAAACAAAATATGGGATACTAGTCAGCCTTAGAAAGGACACAACATGGATGAGCCTGGAAGACATTGTGCTGAGTTAAAAAAGCCAGCCACACAAGGATAACTACTATATGATTCCTCTTATGTGAGGGACCTAGAGAGGTCAGGTCCGTAGAGATAGAAAGCGGAAGGTGATTGCCAGAGGCTGGGGTGGGGGGATGGAGAGTGAGTGTTTAATAGGTAGAATTTCTGTCTGGGAAGTTGACGAAGTTCTGGAGGTGGATGGTGGTGATGGTAGCACAAAAATGTCAGTGCATTTAATGCCCCTGATGTGTACACTTAAAAATGGTTAAAATGTAAATTTTATGTTAGGTATATTTTACCGCAATTAACAACAATAATAATAATTTTTTAAAAACTGGTAGGAAGGAGAGTGCCCTCCTCCGGGAGGCGCAGCCGCCACTCCCCTCAGTTTCTTAGGGAACCCAGTGGGACCTCGACGCCTCATCTCCTTGGGACTCCCATCCTTTGCTCTGTGCCTGTCTCTGTCCTCCCGCTGCTCCTGTGGCCCCACTGGCCCGAGAGTTGCCACTCTCTGTCTATGTGGATCCTTCCCCCGAGATGAGCCTTGACACTGGGCTGTCCCTGGCCAGAGCCACTAGCAGCCTTCCCTCTGTCCCAGTGGCCGGCATGAACCACCTGCGGGAGAACGGCATCGTCCACCGAGACATCAAGCCGGGGAACATCATGCGCCTGGTCGGGGAGGAGGGGCAGAGCATCTACAAGCTGACGGACTTTGGGGCAGCCCGGGAGCTGGATGACGACGAGAAGTTCGTCTCGGTCTACGGCACCGAGGAGTACCTGGTGAGCGCGTGTGGGGGACCCGCTGCCCGAGCGGAGGGCTTCCCCTGCAGCTGGCTGCCCCTCACCTTGTGACTCTCAGTGCCCCTCTGAGGGGCTCTGTCCAATCTCCCTGTTTCCAGCGGGGTTATCTCTCACCCCCTATCACCAACCAGAACAATTTGTTCTGTTCTCTTAAGGCCGAAAAGGCAATGCTGCAGCCTGCCCAGGCCTCCCCTGTTCCGTTAAGTCCTTGATAGGATACTCATGGAGGATGGAGCACTAATGGTCACCACCTCCCCCAGGGCAGAGGCTGGGGTTGGGGGGAGGGGTGCTTTGGATAAGCACATGCCACACCCATTTTTGAGATGACAAAGGAGATGCATTCTGACGGTTCTGTTTCCTTCTGAAGGGGGTCTGAATGGGGTGTGCTCAGGCACTTGCCCCCTTCCCCCTCCATGACAGCTCTCTGGTTCCCCCTCCTGCAGCACCCTGACATGTATGAGCGGGCGGTGCTTCGCAAGCCCCAACAGAAAGCTTTCGGGGTGGCCGTGGATCTCTGGAGCATTGGGGTGACCCTGTACCATGCGGCCACTGGCAGCCTGCCCTTCGTCCCCTTTGGAGGGCCCCGGCGCAACAAGGAGATCATGTACGGTGGGCCACCGGGCAGGGGGCGGAGGGACGGACCCTGGGCCTTCCCTTCTGGTCGCTGCTGTGTCCCCTATTCTGCCTCTGACTCCGCGGTCCTCCTGGTCTGCCCCCGACGCAGGCTTCTTTTGGATCCTTGGACATCAGTCCTTCAAACATGAGGCTGAGCCCTGTCCCCTTCCTGATGGGAGAACTTAGTTCAGGGCTTCCCTTGAGCAGCCCCCCTCCACCTGTGGCTCACCACATCTCAGCTGAGGCTCCCAGAGTGACTTGGCCAAGGTTGCAGAGCCTGCCAGGGGCCAAGGGGAAGGGCAAGGACCTAGCCCCCTGATCCCAGGTCCCGGGCCCCTCATGGTTTTCTGCTGTCTGATACAGAAGTAGCTGGAGACCGTGGCTGCTCCCACTGAGGGCACCACCCAGAGCAAAAGAGATTTAAAGTGGATTTGCAGGAAGGTCAATGCCCCTTCAGCTCAGGGGTCAAGCTGTGACTTGGATGGGGGCTGTCAGGGTAGCTGGACTTTGGAGGGAGGGGAGGTTGGAATAGTGAGGTGGAGGGGAGGTGGAGGGGGCCGAGCACAGTGCAGGCGCAAGTGTGGAGGCAGGTGGGCACGGATGTGTGGTGAGTGGGCAGAGGAAATGGACAGAGGAGAGAGTGGAGAACTTGACTGGGGAGCATCAGGACTGCTAGCCAGACTCTCAATTTCCATTCTCAGCGTGCCTCGGGGCAGCTGGGTGACTTGCCCCAGTGCCCTGAGCCCTCCGGGCTGAGTCCGTCATCCCTTGAAGTGTGATGGGCTGGAGGCTCCTGCTGACTTGGTGCTGTCTCCCCCAGGTACCGGATCACCACGGAGAAGCCAGCTGGGGCCATTGCAGGCACTCAGAGGCTGGAGAACGGGCCCCTAGAGTGGAGCTACTCCCTCCCCGTCACCTGCCAGCTGTCCATGTGAGTGGGACCCTGCGGGAGGGGCAGACACAGACCCCAGTCTGGGCCGATGTCCTTCTCTCAGCTGAGGCCTGGCCCGGCGGAGCACCCTGTGTGTTGGCAGCTTGGGTACACCACTCTCCCTTTCTAGCCCCAGTTTCTCCATCTGGATGCTGGAAGACACTTCCAGCTCTTCCTCTCCATCCCACCCTGCCCCACCCCCTTGGCCCTGGCTCTTTGGGATATTCTCAAGGAAGGCCCCTATTACCTACTTGATGAGGCCAACTCCGGGCCCCGGCCCCTGACAGTCTCCATGGCTCTGCAGGGGGCTGCAGAGCCAGCTGGTGCCCATCCTGGCCAACATCCTGGAGGTGGAGCAGGCCAAGTGCTGGGGCTTCGACCAGTTCTTTGCCGAGACCAGTGACATCCTGCAGCGAGTTGTCGTCCACGTCTTCTCCTTGCCGCAGGCCGTCGTGCACCATGTCTACATCCACGCGCACAACACGTGAGTGGGTGCGAGCGAGGGTGGCGCGAGCCTTCTCTCCCCAAGCACAGGGGCGTGTCCTGGGCAGTGCTCTGTGGGCAGTTGAGATTTGGAAACTTCCGGGTCCAATCTTACTTTGGAAGAATACTAATTCCACCAAGTTAACGTTAAACAGGCCTTCTTGCTGCTGGACTTGAGAGATTCAGCAAACTTTATAAAGCTGATGCATTATAATCTCCTGAGGGGTGTGTGTGTGAGTGTGTGAGTGTGTGAGTGTGTGTGTGTGTGTGTGTGTGTGTGTGTGTGTGTGTGTGTATGGAAGAATACTAATTCCACCAAGTTAACGTTAAACAGGCCTTCTTGCTGCTGGACTTGAGAGATTCAGCAAACTTTATAAAGCTGATGCATTATAATCTCCTGAGGGGTGTGTGTGTGAGTGTGTGAGTGTGTGAGTGTGTGTGTGTGTGTGTGTGTGTGTGTGTGTGTGTGTGTGTGTATGCTGGCAGTGCATTTCCCCAGTGTATTACTCATGGAATCCTGTATTTCTGGAGCATGCTATGGGACTAGGTGAGTTTTAATGGAAGTGTGGCGGGAAGAGATGTGAAGGCTTCTTGAGTTCTGTCCCCACTTGGTCTCTATCCACTATAAGACATGAGCTCTGTCCTTCATCTCCCCGCCCTAGAGAAAAAATCACCCAGTCCCTCCCTCTGAAGAGCAGAACCCAAAGTCTTAGCTGGGCTTTCGGTCACCCTGTCCCTGTATCCTGCCTGCTGACATGCCCTCCCCTCCCCCTCCCCTCTCTCTGCCTCTGGTGTGTCTAGGATAGCCATCTTTCTAGAGGCCGTGTACAAGCAGACCAGTGTGGCCCCCCAGCACCAGGAGTACCTCTTTGAGGGTCACCTCTGTGTCCTCGAGCCCAGCCTCTCAGCACAGCATATCGCCCACACGACAGCAAGCAGCCCCCTGACCCTGTTCAGCATGGTCAGCGAGACCCCCAAGGGGCTGGCCTTCAGGGACCGTGAGTAGGACCACCCAGGCTTTATCTTTTCTCCTCCTCACATTCTCTTCCAAGGGGCAGGGGTTTATAATCCAGGATACTGATTCATTTTCTTGTGGGTGTTTCTTTGGGTCCCCAGGGTGTAGAAGGCAGATCTGGGTTCTAATTCTGCATACGCCTCTGAAATGCCATGTGACTCGGGCTGGTGGCCTGCCCAACCTGCTTCATAGCGTCCAAAGATCTGGGAAAGAAACCCCAATGGAAACAGGGAGATGTGGGCTTAATGTGGTCTCCACAGGCTGTGGTTGGTGGGGAAGCCTCCAATAGTTTGGTTTGGAGGAAGCAGGAGCCTAAGCTGCTGGAGAGAAGAGAAGGTGGTCAGGGGTCCAGAGCTTTGTCCTCCAAGTTCTAGCAAAAATATCACTCCTTCTCATTTGAATGATGCCTCCTCTTCAGGGTCTCCAAGGCTCGGAGGGGAATTGACCTTGAAACCCCGGAGTGTGAGGGGTGCTTTTAGCCTATTTTCTGCTGCTGAGATGGGGCCTTGGGCATGAGGCTGTAGTTCTCCAGAGTGGACACAAGGGGGCAGTGAGGGACTGCAATTGTAAAGAAGCACATTGAGTGCCTTTAAGGCTTAGAAGGTCGGGGCTCTAGGTGAGTTGGGAAGCTTGAGGTGGCAGATAGGTGGCGAGGGCTGAGCGTGAGCTGGAAATAAGGAATGATAAGCTCAGACCTCATCCAGGGCTGGACAGGCAGCCCCCTCAGACCAGGTCTTTATCTGCAGCTGCTCTGGACATCCCCAAGTTTGTCCCCAAAGTGGACCTGCAGGCAGATTACAACACGGCCAAGGTGAGGGGTGGCCCCCAGGGGTCAGGGAGGGGGTAGTTCATGCAGGGGTTCGGGATACGGGACCTGACCCTGCCCACCTCTGTGTTTCAGGGTGTGTTGGGTGCCGGCTACCAGGCCCTGCGGCTGGCACAGGCCTTGCTGACAGGACAGGAACTGATGCTTCGGGGGCTGCACTGGTTCGTGTGAGTACCCCCAAGGGCTGGGTGGGGAGGGCAAGGAGGGTGGGCAGGGTAGGACAGGCAACCCAGACCCCTTCCAACACCACCCTGGGGCTGTGCCTATGGGCACAGTGCCCTCAGTCCCCTGGGAGAAGGCAGCTCTGACTGAGGCTCCCCTTGGCAGGGAGATACTCCAGGCCACGTGCAGGAGGACTCTGGAGGTCACGAGGATGGCCCTCCTCTTCCTCAGCAGCAGCCTCGGCACTGAGAGGTGGGTGTTCCGTCCAGGGTGGGGGCCGCAGCCGGCATAAGCCCTGCTCAGACCCATCAGCCCTTCTCTCTGTCTGTTCCTCACCCCAATCTTTCCAACAATGCCCCTTGTCCCCTCCCACCCAGAGCTCCCGACTTCCCTGCCATGCTAGAACGGAGAGGGCACTCCCGCCCCATCCCTGCCCCCACCCCCCAGCCAGTCCCTCACCTCAGGGGGCCGGGCCTGTGAGGGCACTGCCCCGCCAGGTACCGAGGCAGCCTCCCTGCCCCAGGAAGGGGCCTCTGTCCTACCAGTGCCCCCTCTGAAGATTTAAACTGCTCACCTGCACCAGGCCCTGGAGCAGGGCTCTGGGAGAAGCACTCACACTCACACACGGTCCCCTGGACTTGACAGGATGGAGACCTAGGCGGTCTCATCCTCCACACGCCTCCTCCTGCTTCCTCTGGGCCTGAAACTGTCCGCGCCTCCGAGGATCCCCTGCCCCAGTCCTTGGAAATCCACACCCTCCACCCCTCTGACTTGGGTTAATTAGGCGTGATGGGTTACAGAAAGGGAGAGACTGGGGAGGAGGACATCAAGCTGGAGGGTCTGGAGATAAGCAGGAAGACTCCACTGGCCAGAGTGCTGCTGAGAAGGCGGCAGGGGCTACGGCACAGGTGAGAGGTGGGAGCCCTGTGGCCCAGGGAAGCTGATGGTGGCTGGAGCCTCTCCCGGTGACAGGTGGTGGCAGAAGAGCAGAGACTGTGCCAAACAGGCCCGGTGTCCTACCCATCACGTCCCGCAGCCCTTGTCCTCAGGAAGGTCCTGGGAGTTTCCCAGGAGCAGGGTGACTCACTGCATACTTGCCCTCCACCTGGTGCTCGGCAGCAGCGACACTGACCGTGGGGTAGACAGGGTGGTGGACAGGCAGGGAGGAGGGTCTCCAGGTGAGTCCCCGGCGTGGCTGAGCCACCTTCAGATGGGGACAGAGAAGAGGGGCTGCAGAGGGCACGATCCGCCAGCAGCGCTGTGGGGGAGTCCCTCTGAGAAGACATCTACCCAGGCACAGAGCGGGCTTCCAGGGCTGCAAGTGGCCCCAGGCCTGCAGACGGCCCTGGAGGACAGCCCTTCCCCAGCATGTGCGCGTGGCAGGACGGTTGGGTGAAGGGAGACGAGAGATGATGGGCAGACGCAGCCAGGAAGACCCGGAAGAAGGGAGGCTGTCAAGGCTAGAATGTGAGCGAATACCTGGGGTGGGAAGGCCTTATGCAGAGACATGACGGGAGGGGTGGGGAGGTGCTGCTGAGGTTTGCTGAAGCCACAGTCATAGTGGAGAATGTCCCAGAGTGGAATTGGAGAGGGAAGGGGAGAGGGCAGGCAGGTCCTAGGGTCCAGATGAGAGGTTGGACCTCGCTAAAATGACCAACAAGGATCTATTCTAGGTTCTTGAGTGAGAAAGAAATGTATATAGAGAGCATCTGGTTGCTTGCCCACCTTCCCTGGGCTGACGAGTGTGGAGAGCGACAGGCTAGCCCCAGGCCTGGAGTCCTGGGGTCTGCTGGCCGCTGTTTCTCCAGTTCTGGCTCCAAGGCCTCCTCCGAGGCGTGGTGGGTGTGGAGAGCTCAGGGTCAGGCAAGTGCCTGCTTTGAGGCCTGTTTCATTCTCCCACGAGGAAGAGCGCTGGGCCGAGAGTCAGAAGGCCCGGCCCAAGCTCTTCATTGACTCACTGTTAGCCTCAGACCATTGTCGCCTTTCCTACCTGGGCCTCTATTTCCTCATTTTCAAAATGAGGGGACTGGATGACCTCGGAGGCCTCCCAGCTCCCATGCGTCGCAATCTCATTCTTTTCTGAACACGCTCAGACCTGTCGGTTCTTCTAAGGCCCGAAGCCACTAGCTCCTCCCACAGCGGAACCTGAATTTTTTTTTTTTTTTTTTTTTTT